CGGCCGGCTCGTCTGGGCGAGCCCCATCTCCGGACCGGCGGAGCTGCGCCAGCGCGGAAGTAACGCGGGTGAGTCCCGGCGCGGCTCTTTCCCGAGCAAGCCCGCCTTGGGATCGGGGCCGAGGGAGAGCCAAAGAAACACGAAACAAACCCGGTCCGGGTGGAGGGGAAGGAAGGGGGCGCCCCGCTTTCTCACCCGCCTGGTCCCTCCGGCTGGAGGCGAGTCCGAAGAGGCAAAACGGGGATTCCCAAGGCTGGGGGAGATGAGCCGCCAACTCTCTTTAAAAATCTAGGCAGAGAAAATAACTAAAAATTCAAAGTTGCTCAGCTAGGCAGGTGGGGAAATGAATTAAATCTATTTCTCTCGCGCTCTGGATCCATCGAAAAGGGCTCTGGAACTGACCGATACTTGAACTTAGAAGCTACCCAACTACCCAGCTACGTACTTGCTCTTCTGTTATCTTGTCCCAGAGTCCTGACTCTCTGGACAGTTTACCAAACAAAGTGACGCCCCTTCAATAGTGTGAAAGTGAGGAGCGTTCTCCCTATATATATTCAAAATTTATTATTGATTTTTTTTAAAAACTGCGTCTCCCTGCTGGATAGAATAAACTCTCACAAGGTTGCAAGGGAAAAAAAGGTTTACTTCCAGAGAAAGCTAGGAAACAGTTCAAAAGAAGTTTGTTTGATGGTGTTGTTGTTGTTGTTTTAAATAAAACACAACATATCTTTGTTTATTTATGTTTAGAAATAGCCATGCCAAAACGTAACAGTAATCCAAACTCTGGAAGTCCCAGAGAGTGGAAGAAATTGGGGGGGGGGGGAGGCCAGAATCTGGAACTTTGTTCTTATCAGGGGTAATGACATTCGTTTTAATGTCACTTCGTTCACCAGAAGGTGCAAAATGATCAGTGATTCAGAAGAAAAGGATCAGATGCCAGCTGGGGGGGGGTCTCCCTCCTCCAGTTAGCTCCCTTGTGAAGGGGAACCAGGGGCTTGGATCAGGGCCAACTGTGGGGGATCCACTGGATCCCTTCACCACGTCCAACTCAAATTTAAACTAGTCCGATCGGATCACTTCCAACTCAGGTAAAATCTCTCCGAGACACCTCCCTCCCGCTTTTAGAGACAAAAGGCCAGTTTCAAAAGCTGTCCCAGGAAGAATTTTAAAACATTTTTGGGGAGGGGGGCATCTTCCAACCGGTCCCCCCCCTGAAAAGGGCTCTCAACTTGGGGGGGGGGCACAGTGTGGGATGTTGATACTTCCTGGGGTGTATTATGTGCACAAAATAGTTCAGCGTATAAACCTGACTCTGCAGACATGTCAGTGGGCTAACAATGGCCCACCTCTGTAAGAAGGGTCCCGGGGGGGGGTCCACTGGCCCAAAATGAATGACAGGACACCCCCCATCTTTCCTGAACGGATACCTTTTCATGTCGGCTGTTGGACACAAGACGGCTGCCGTCTTCCTCCTCTCTCTCCTGCTGAGACAGTTTAATGTGCAATTTTGCCTTTTGTTGACTGCCAGGCCTTGCTGGGAAAAGCTGGGGGGCTGCTTTTTTTGGGGGGGGGGAGAGAGATGGAATAAGAGAGAGGGATCTATGAAAAGCAAAACAGCACAGGAAGGTGCATCAATTGAACAAAAAGACAAAAAAATACAGTCAGGTCCAGCTCCGCATTCAGAACTGGGAGGGCCACCTTTCCACTGGATCTCATCCCCATTCTGATTTTTAAATGCTGTCTTATTTATGTCAAAAAGAAAAGCGGGCAAGGTGGGGGGAGAGGGGAGGAAACCTCCCATTTTCCCTGTTCAAAAATGCATCAGCGTCCCTTTGTACTTTGTGCCAACTTGAGCATTTCTTAACACATCTTTTCAAAAGCTGTGTTAAGGTTCAAAATGAATCCCCCCCCCCGATTTTGGCACCAGTTAGTTAGCCAGAGTTTCGGTTGGCGCTGGCTTAGGTTAGCCTGGTTTGTTAGCCCTGGTTTAGTTGGCCTTATAAGTTTATTAGCCTTCACTTATATTAATCATAGTTTGTTTGCCATGGTTTATCTTAGCTTTGTTTGTCCGTCATGGTTTATGTTAACCTTGGTTTGTTTCGGCTACAATCTGGATGGCTGTGGTTACAAATCGTCCCACAGACGAATAAACAAACCATAGTTAATTTTTCCTGTTTCTAAACTGTTTCTTTACCATGTCTATTATCTGCTCCCTCTTCAAGCTGAGCAGTTATGGAAATAAATGAAGACCAAACCATGATTCTGGAATACAGCCTCGCAACAAACCATGGTTTAAGGAAACCAACAAACCAACAAGCTATCAACAAAAAGATTTCAAACTGTGATTTGGGATTTCCCAATAAACCATAGTTTGCCGATGGTTAAAAGTTTAGATACAAAAAGCTAGAGTGTGACAAACCACAATTTTCCCAGTTGACTGATGCCCACCAGGCTTTTATTTTCACAATGATCTTGCAAGGTAGGACCAGCCTGTCAGGAAAAAGTGAGAACGCCAGTTCAGTTTGGGAACATGAACGTCAGTCTCCAGCCCCATTTCTTGGGATAGACTAACCTGCAATCATAAAGCAGAGAGATTGAGACGCTTTGAGGGAAAGACCAATGAGAGCAGGTTGATGCACTTCATAAGCATTCCAGAGATGGCTTAGGGTGAAAAGCATGATGGGGAATTCCTGGGGAGTTGTGTGGAAGGCCCGGGACTTGGAAGAAATTGGGTGGGTCTTAACAAAGAGCCACATAAAACTTTTCAAGCTGATCTTGAAAGGAGGCAGCGGGTGGGTGTGGACAATCGGGCCCAACACGGTGCTAGGCGCTGGACGCATTTCAGATGGCTGTTTGGGGCAGGGGGTAGCCGGCCGAAGAACAATGGTGAATAGATGGGGAGACAGGAGGGCAGATTTAAATGGGAAGGAGCCACAGTGGAAGGAATATGAGATCTCTTTCTAAAAGAAAGACGCCAAAGTTGGCACCAAAACCCGGAGAGGACAAAGAGAAACGATGTCTTTACAAAACCCTTTGAATGCCCAGGAAATCATCTGGGGATAATAGAAGACGGGGGTGGGTGGGAAGAGTCTTGAAAACGAGTCCTTAGGGGATATCTTTATTTTATTTTATTTTCCAGAGAGAAGGAAAGAGGGGGGAAGGCAAAAACCCCTCTCTCCCCTTCGTGAAGCCTGTGAGCGCATTGTCTGCCTTGTGGCCCACTCTGTGGGTTGCAGAGAGCCAGCGAAGCATGCCTTTCTCTCTCTGTCTGTCTCCCCTCGGCCCGGCACAAAACTGTCCCGGCTTTGGGGATGGGGAGAAAAAGCAGATGGAGAGACCAACCCAGCGGGGTAGGAAAAAGCCCATTGAGGCCGCACAATGCCTTCTTCCCACTTTTCCGCCTGGCTCGCTGGCCCGCGCACAGCTTGGCCGGCGCGGTGGGCTTCCGAGAGGCCCGTACATCATCTCGGCCACCTCCCCTGCCAAATTCCCTTTAGGAGGTTCTTTGGCACCGGCCCGTGGCAGGGGGTTCAAGGCGGATCACCTCTGACATGTATGCACAGAGGGTGGGTGGGAGGACGGACGTTTCCACATGGGAAACCCAAGACCCGAAACCTGGGAAGCATTTCTAAAAAAGCTTTTCTGCATAACTGCCACCTGCTCACAAGTCTCATACGGAAAAGAATGGGGGATCCAAATATTTATTTACATCTGGTTGCTTCTTAAGGCAACGTCTGGCTCTTACCCATCACATTCACAACAGCCTGGCTGGGTAGACCAGGCTGGGCGCATGGGGCTGGCTCAAAGTCTCTCTCTTGAGATGAGGAATCTGAACTCAGACCCTGGAATTCTGAGACCTGGTCCACAAAAGCTGCCTTTTCCAGGGAGCACGGTGAATGCATGTGCATCCACACGAGCAGGGGGGGCCACAGGGAGCAAAATCACAGGTGGGGCAGGCCCCAAATTTCCAGGGACCCGCCCAATGCCCCATTGGACTCATCGCTGCTTCTGGCCATGACCCCATCCTTGTTCTGAACCGTTCTTCATTCTAATCCCTCTTCAGAAGCTTCGCAAGAGGAGGGCAAGAAGGGGGGGCAGGAAGGAAGGAAGGACTCTGTTCTCTTTAGAGATAAATTGTTTCCTGCCCTGATAATTTGCCCCGGTTTCCCTGGCCTTGAAAAAGAACATACAGTACATCAATTTTGTCTTCCATCACTCTGAAACATTGACCAGCCAGGCGTCAGCTCCTTGACGAAAGAGTCATGAGATTCTCGCTGATCTATTTATTTCACTAAGCCTTCTTCTCGGGGTTGGGAATGCTTTCTTTCTTTCTTTTCTTTTTGTCTTTATTCTGACCAGATTTCAGGTTTCACGAGGAAAAACACAGGGTCTAGTCCAAGGGGACGAGCGAGCTGGTCGCCTATGATGAGTTAACAATGGCAGCACGGCGACCACGCTGTGAGATTTTATTTTGAAATCGGGAGCAGCGGTTGGTTCCCCTTTTTTAAAACCTCAGCCTGCCGATATTTATCAAAGGAATGGCATCGTTGGAAAGGCTTCTCTCTCTTCTGCACCCATATTTCCATCCCAGAGCCATTTTGCTAGCTGAGGGGTTAGGATTCGCAGCCACCTGCTAATTTTGGAGATGACAAGGCCATCTGCTCCGACTCTTCTCTTCCTTCCTGAGATCCTTCCAGGGATGGCAAACCAGCTGTGAGGAAGGGCAGGGAGGGAGAGAGGGCGGTTCAGCATGCCAGCCAGCCCTGGAATAAAAAAAAAGCACACACACAACTTTTGTACAATAGCTGGTGTACAACAGCTGGTGTGCGGGCGAGGCTGGTCTCCTATCAACGGGAGACCCTGTCGTTGATGGATTGCCTTCATTTGCATATGAAACTTCCTTTGCATATATTTCTGGGATGCGGGAAGCCCAATTTCGAATGGAAAGTCTCTGTCTGAATGTTTATGCCTGGATTTTGATGCATCCTTAGGGCAATGAGGAATCATCAGGATTGGTCTGATATTCTCTAGAAAGTTGTGGTTGATTTGTGATATCTTTATTCGGAAGTTCTCCAGCAACTCCAGGTATATTTAAGACAAAATCCTCTACGGAATACTCTTTAACTGTGTTTTTCCCCCCCATGGATCCTTTTGTTTCAGGTGAGGGATTCGGCGCCTGGAAATATGGGTCACATCCCTGCGTTTGTCTCCTTGACGGTTGTCTTCCGCCTCATTGCCGCCAGCCTGCTGGACTCCCTCGAACCCCTGCCCGTCGTGGCCTCCAGTATCCCAGAGATCGCCAACAGCTTCCCAAACGGGGCAGACTGGACGCACCCCCCACGAGCCGCAATGCACCGCCGCCGACACGGCCCCAACCGTCACGGGCGGGCCCACCAGCGAGGGATGCCGTCTAAGGCTCGTAGCGCCGGGGAAGGAGCTGGCCCACAGCTCCTAAGCTGGTCCGCTTTGGAGGATCCGGGATGGAGGGAACGTCCTGCCGGCCTCCGGCAGAAGGATGTTTTCCTGGGGTTTGAGTTTCCGTACCTGGAGCAGGAAAACCAAGCTCCTGGAGTGGGGAGAGGAAAGAAGCAGAACCGTGAGCATCGGCGTCATAGCCGGAGAGACCGGTTGAAACAGCACCGAGGTATCCGTCTAGGGCGCGCCCCTCTTGGCGAGAGTTTCTGGTTGCATGGAGAGGATTTCTGGGCTGCAAGCCACCGCTTTGTGATCTGCAAACCCAGAGCCGAGTTCCATGTAGCAGCCCCTGGTCTGCAAAGCAGAGTTCCGTTTCATGCAACTCCTTACCAGGCTGCAAAGCAGGGCTCCCTTTCATGCTAAAAAATGATCAGGCTGCAAACCAGGGCTCGGCCTGTACTCTGCTCATACGCAGAGTTTGAAAAAGGGGGAAAAATGTGTTTTGCTGCAACCTGCAGGATCCCTTTAAAGGGTTGTCTTTTCCGTTCGATTTCAGGAAAAAGCTCAGATCCAGGGCCAAGCCCACTGTATAAAAAACCCGAAAACTTTGAGGAGCAATTTCAGAATCTCCAAGTTGAAGGTTCTTCTGCAGGCTTGGGTCCCACCTTCCTGCTGGGCTCCACCCCGAAGCCTTCAATCGAGGAAGCTCCAGCTCTCCACGCCACCTCTCCCCGGCCTCAGGCCCGCCTCCGGCCCGAAGGGGATGTGATGCCCACTCTTGACATGGCCCTCTTTGACTGGACGGATTACGAGGACCTCCGGCCAGAGATGTGGCCTCTAGGCAAGAAAAAAGGTGGTATCCAGTCCCTGTGTCCGGGGTGGCCTGGTGATTCCAGTTTTGCAGGCTCTGGGAATCCGCTCCGGGAGGGATCCGAGACAGCAAGCCTACGCTGGGGATGGGATTCAGCATATTGGAGAACTCCTGCAAAGTTCGGACTGAAAACCTGAAACGCTGGGATCATCCCCTTCCACAGGCACTGATGGAGCCACATCAGCATTCCCCATGCAGGGAACCCACCAGAAATGTCAGGCAGTGCATCATGGAAGTTGTAGTTTCATGCAATCCCCAGGCAGTGCATGATGGGAGTTGTAGTTTCACACAATCCCCAGGCAGCATATGATGGGAGTTGTAATTTCACACCATCAGAGTGTGACCTGGTTTGGGAATGGCTGACACAGAATGACCTTTAGGTCAGGTGGTTATGAAATGGATTCCCATCATCCTTTCACACCATCAGAGTGTGACCTGGTTTGGTTATGAAATGGATTCCCATCATCCCCATCACAAGTGTGTGCTGGGGGTTTCTGGGCAGTAAGATTCTGGAAGGACTGCATGAGGGTGAAGATGGGGGCTTCCATGTTCCATGGGATGAATCAGCTACAGATTTTTGGACCAAGCTTTGCAGAAAATTCTCTCGGGCGCTGAACCCGAACGCTCCCCAAATATGTCCAGCCTTTCAGATCCTTCTCTTGAAGTTAAGGCCACACTCCAGAGCAGATCATAGTCCTCAGCTCCCCCTTGGCCCAGGGAAGCCTTTCTCTTCAACGCAATGCAGAATTAAACCTACAGAACCCCTTGCCACCAGGAGGAGAGGCTGATTGGCACGCCTGGGGATGGGCATTAGATAAATCCAGGAAAGAGGGCAAAAGATGTTTGGCTATCAATGGTAGCTATGACAGCTCTAGAGGTGGAACCTCCAGCAATCAGCACACTGTAACTTTTTTTTTTGCCCTGCTGGCCAGAGAGGATGGGAATTGGAGTATGACAGATTGGGAAAGCACCAGTTTGGGAGAATTTGAAATGGACAAGCTTAGGAATTATGTGTACCTTTATTATTATTTTTAATCCACCTGACTCCTTTATTGCTTCTCCCATTTTGTTTTTCTCCTCTTTCCTAGAGAAACGGCGCAGTAAGAACAGTAGCAACGAAACCACGCCCACAGAAGGGGACCCCTGCGACCATCACCTCGATTGCCTCCCAGGTGGGCACTAGTTTTCATGAGGACTAGCATCACCAGGTGCGAGTAAGATCCTTAGGAGGCACTTACTGCCAGACCACCTGTGGGATGTGAGGCAGAAGCAGAAACATCAGTGGAGTATTTCTTAAGGATGCCTTTCCCTGATTTTGGATAACAAACCCCAAAGTTCTTCATTTGGGGAGTTTATCAGGCCAGAATGGAGAATTATGGGATTGGTAGTCCAAATTCCCCCTCCACAAATCCCACCCCTGGTATTTATTAATAGTTTCCTCTCTCCTCCCCACTTGTCTTAGCAGGATGTTGCTGTGATTTGCGGGAGCACCTTTGCAAACCCCACAATCGTGGCCTTAACAATAAATGTTACGACGACTGCATGTGTTCAGAAGGTGAGTGGAAGGGGGAGGGGGGAAAACAAAACCACAATGTAATTTCAGTGTGAACTTTTGGGAAGCAAAAATCCACTTCTTTAGACGCAGGAGTGCATATGCATCTCCTGTATATTTATACATATTTGCAGAACTCGGGAAGTGGACGTGTCTTCAATGAATGGCTTGAAAGAGCTCAAAAGTTGCCCTCGGAGGGCCCAGGTGTGGCGCTTCAGCCTTGGTGCTGAATCCGGCCTTCTTAGGATCTCAGTCTGTGAAAACCCAATCGGCTATCTCAGTCAGTCAAATTAATATATGTCTGAGGGTTGTCACGAGGGAGGATGAGAGATCTCTGCCTCTCTCCCGGGCTCCCTGGAAGAAAGGCAAAATCTCCGTGGAAAAATCACCAAAATAGACTACAACTCCCATCAGCCCCAGCCACCATCACTAATGGGCGATGGGAATTGTAGTCCAGCAACATGAGGAAGGCCGCTTCTACCCCTTTCCTCCTCATAATTTGCTTTTTCCCCCCAGTGTTTTCTCTCTTTTTGGATTTAGGCTTGCGCTGTTACGCCAAATTCCACCGCAACCGCAGAGTGATCCGGCGGAAGGGGCGCTGCGTGGAACCGGAGTCCGCGGACGGAGATCAAGGGTCGTTTCTCAACCTCTAGAATGATCTCCCTGTGTGTCGTTTCCCCCCCTCCCCCAAATGGGTCCGAGATATTAATTTATATGTAGTAGTGATGTGGGGGGGGGCCTGGAGGAAAGAGCCGGCTGGCCAAATGATTTGGATGCAGTGTTGCAGCTACGAAGCTGGAGCGAAGATTCTAGATAATGCAGGATTTAGAAGGTCAACCCACCGAGCCTGGCCTTTTTACAGGAGGTTGAAATGCAGGCGGGGTACCTGTGATTCTAGTCGCTTTTGTCTTCTCCTCTTTTGTAAGGCTAAGGGATCTTAGTTGCTCATTCAGGATCAAGCCAAGGAGATCACTGGCCTTGGCAACTCGAGAAAGCCTTCCATTTTGGCCCCTCCGAGGATCCTCCTTCTCCTGCAATTCCGCCGACTCTCAAAGGAGGCTGGTTACTGCCTCCCTTCGTGAGTTCCTGCGCTTGGCCTTCTGAGAACTCTCACCTTCTGAGAGCGCCTGTGTCGGAGGGCTGGGGAAATCCTCCAAAAGTGGTCAGGGAGGGAAGAGACGCCATCTTTACTCTCTAGTTGGAAGTATGGGCACTCATCCAGAGACACAACGGACACTTCTCAGCTCTCCCTTGGAAAGTCGTGGTGGCTTCCAGGAAAAGCCTGTTGCCTCAATGCCATGGGACACCTTGCAAACTGCTACTGGGGGCCTGATCCAGGCCTGTGCTGCAACCCTGCACGGGGCTGGAGGAGCCGAAGGCAGGCAGAAGAAGGACTTACACCAGCCTAGAAAAGCCAGATTCTGCCTCCAGGATGAATGATGGTCATCCTGCCATCTTGCCAGAATCCTGCCCCGATGGATGTGCCCCCATCTGCTTCTGCCTCCTGCGGAAACCAACCAGCCAATTTGGCCCTGTATCTCTGACTTTGCCCAGCTCTGCCTGGTCAGGTCCAAGCGACCCCCCCCCCCCCCGGGAACCCTGAGGGCTAGAAACTTGACTCCCAGAGCAGATGCAAAAAAAACACACACAGGTTTCGCTTGCCCACCTCCCGTGCCGACACTCATAAACCTCACCCCTTCTTTTCTCTCCAGCCAACCAACTCATTCGGCCAGCTTTTGGGGGTTCTTCTTATTTATCATGGTTTTAGGATGTTTCTTTACAGGGCAGGGTTATTTTCTTGTGGGGGGGGACGGGAAAACGTTTTCGTATATGGTGTAAAAGGGGCGACCCCTGCTCCCCCTTAGTGACCATGCGGCGATGGGCTTGCATGTCCCAATTTTGAAGAGGTGTAAATAAATAAATAAAATAGTTATCCTTCACCCCCTGGCTTGTCGCCTCCTGTTTTTTTTCTCTAGAGTTTTCCACGTTGGGACAAAAAGAAAACCACACAAAACACTGTGGCGTTTTAAGGACCCACAATTTAAATTCAGTTTCAGCTTCGTTGGCTCAGCATCCACTTCTTTGACTTCCAGAGTGCGAAGATATGCCCTGCATATTTATAGATAGGGCAGGGAGAAGTTTAAAAGGTGTGTGCTTAAGATTCACCATTGTTTGGGATCTGGGGGTGATTTGAATACAGACCCAGAAAACTCTTAATTTTTTGGTGCATCCTGCTGATTTTTGATCATGACTTATAGCAGCTGGCCTTAAGGTTTGGGGGACCTGCTCCAGCCTTACTTGTAAAAACTGGCACCTTTAAATGGTAGGTCTGTGTCAAGAGTTATGAATCAGGATGGTTAAATAGAACCTCCCTATTCAGGGCAGTGTATCTGTGAATTGCATCAGCAAACCGACAATGGGAGAGGAAGGTGGCTTTCCAGTCTTCCAATTCTGCTGCAGATTGTGGTATGCTTCGTTAGATCGACCCTTGGCCTTTTTCTGCAAGACAAGTGTTTCATTAAATTTTGGATTAATTTCATTAACATTGCATTAAAATGAAAATCAGCCATGCTGTCTTGTTGGCACTCACTGCCGTCTGCAGGGAAGCGCTTCTTACCACGGTTTTCCTCCACGAAACAGAAGCCAGTTAGGAATGGGCACTATATGTAACCCTGAATTGCCCCGGGGCCAAAAAAAAGGAAAAAAAGGATGGGGACCTCTTGCTCTGTAAATGAGGAATTAAATTGGATTCTCCTGCAAGCAACGCCCAGATGCAACTGTCCCCGCGAGGGACCGCCCTGCTTTAAAATCATCCTCCCCCTCTTTGTAACTTTTCCCGTTTTATCTCCAGCGTTATCCTTGAGAAAGGAAATATAGAGGGGAGCTGGAAATGATAATTCACCAATAAATACACCCCGCCCGGGAGAGGCGCTCTGTACATGCTCAGAGGCTGACCGGACCCGTCTCGCAGCGTTGAATGGCTCGCTTCCTTGAGCGCGCCGGCGCGGCGGCTCCCCATTCGGCGTCACTCCGGAGCCGCTCCGCTTCCTCCTTTTCCCGAGGGAGGAGTTTGCTCGCTCTCTCTCTCTCTCTCCCAGCCCCGAAGAGGGAGTCACGGGTCCGGACAAGGGCTGGCCAAGGGGGGACGGGGCAGGGCGGAGCCCGGCAGGGAAAAGGAGGAGAAAGCGGCCCCAGAGGAGAGGCGAACGGGGGACGCGGATTCGCTTCGGCGGCGTATAAACGCTTCTCTTCCCGGCCCGCGATGGAGCTGCCCGCCGTGAACTTGAAGGTGCGTGTCCGCGCGTGTCTCGCGTGAAAGGCGCGTGTGCAAGGAGGGCCAGCGTGCAGGAGCGAGGGGTGGTTGAGGACACCTCCCCCGCCCTTGCTCCGGTTTAGAGAGCCCAGGGGGTGGGCGAGGGAAGCGGATTGTGCAAGAAAAGTGCAAGGAGGGCGTGATCCTCCCCTTTTTCTTTAGAGGAAACCACAGCTTGGAAAAAGTAACTTCGGGGCGAACTGCCATTCCCGGTGGCCACCGGGGGCTGGGAGCGCCTGATCCCAGAAAGCAACTTCTGCAACTAGTCACCGGGCGAGACAGGCCTGCCCTAAGGGTGAGCGAGGCAGCGGCCTCAGGCGGCAGAGACTGGAGGGGCGGCCGCCGCCCGACCGGTCTTCTTTCCCGGGAGGGTCGCGTGTGTTCGTAGGTTGGGGCACCGTGGGAGAGGGTTCCCTTGGCACGCCCTCGCCCAGGGGGCACGATTCTCACACGTGCTGGTGCAAGGCACATGCAAGCACAACGGTGCCCCAAGGAAGCGCTCCTCAGAATTAGTGCATTCTGTTGCCCTGGAAAATGTGGGTACCCACTACCCTCCTCTACTAAAAACTGGATTTCTCTGGGCCAGGAAATACGACCATTTCCATTGCTACTAAAATGTCTTTCTTTTGCAGGAATATCCCCCCCACACACATACATAAAACATGCATTTCCTGGCATGTTGATTTCCTAATAGTGTAACTTTTTGTCTTCTGCTTTTGAACTTCTGCCCCTCACTTCCTGACCTGGTGAGGCAGGGAGCCATACAATTCTCCCCTCCTGGTTTCAGACCTCATGGAAACCCCAGCCTTCAGGCGTCAGGGATTTGAAATATGCTCTTGATCACAGCTGCAATTAAGATCTCTTTGGTCTTCATGGTAGTAGTCGCTGATCTCTACATGATGGTGATGCATCTAGAGAGTGTGTGATATGTTTAGAGGAAATGAGATTATGTCGCAACATCAAGCAATTGTGAAAGTTTGTATTTTTTTAAAAATTGCATCACACTAAACCACAATTGGAACTAACCATGGTTTGGGATCCCAAACCATGGTTTAGGTGTTCAAGTATAACAGCCGTGGATGGTGAACCTTTGGTTTCCTAGATGTTCTGGATGTCAGACAGTCTGGCGGGTGGTAAGGAATAGGAAGTGGTTGGAGGCTAAAAATGTCCCCGTGCCTGGTAACAGCAAACCATGGTTTATTGTTTCTTTTCTGCTGTGATTTTCGGTCTACTTGATGCCGTTGTCCCAGCGCTGTGCTTTCCAGAAACAAAACAATAGTTGTCAAAAAAGAAAAAAACCCATCACTAATTTGCTGTGAAGCATAGTTAATGTGAACCATGATTTGGAAAACCACTTCAAACCGTGATTTCCCATTTGGTTTTTGCTGCTGGCCATAGTCTGTCAATGTGGGCCCTTGAGTACTTCACTTCAAAGTTTCTTTGATGTGGTTCTGAACTGGCCCTTCATAGCAATAAAGAATTGGCGGGAAGTGGTGCCTGGGAGATACCGGTTCGAATCCCACCCCCTTTGGTTGTAGGATGCTATTTGGCACGACCAAAAGGCCTCAAATCCTTCTCTAAGTTAGTTTAAGATTAAGCAGAAGACAATTTTTTAAAATAAAAAATGCATCTGTGTTAGACCTAGTCTGCACAATGGGCTGAACTATGTATTTAGTACAATTATATACGTACTTGACTTTGGCAGCTGAATGCAGAAATCTAGCACATCAGGGTGTGCTAGATTTTAAACTCTCCCTTGAAGTGTTAGCTTTCCAGAGTCAGGGAAGACATTCCACATAAAGCCACAGATGTGCTGTTCTGTTTTGAAGGGCGTGAATAATGCCCGTGAAATCGCAAGAGAAACCACTGTTGTCGTGGGAAGGAAAGAAAAATACTCTCAGTTCCTACAGGCATTGCCTTACACATGCTTGTGTGTGTGTGTGTGTGTATGCGTGTGTGTGTGTATACATACATACACATACACAAGCATGTGTGTGTGTGTGTAGACACACACACACACACACACACTTATTTATTTATTTATTTATTTATTTATCTATCTATCTATCTATCTATCTATCTCTCTATCTATCTATCTATCTATCTATCTCTCTATCTATCTATCTATCTATCTATCTCTCTATCTATCTATCTATCTATCTATCTTCCCCGTAATCATTTGGCCCCAGTACCTACCTACCTACCTACCTACCTATTTTTCTTCCCCATAATCATTTGGCCCCCAATGTCAAAGAAAGCTGGTTTGGGTTCAAGCCAAGACAGAGATGCTCGTCAGCCGTGCTTCGCACGTTAGAGGAATGCATTGCGAGAACTGTTTTAATTTTTAACACTTCCGTAAAGCAAAGGTTTGTTTGCTGTGAACTATTTACTAAGTTAGTTATTAACAGAGGTATGTCTTCCCCAGGAAATTATATGGACTGGGGAAAGAGGACAAGACAGCAGGATTTAAGCTGGGCTGTTTTTGTGGTTCTACCGTTTTTTGTTTTGGTGTGTGTGTGTGTGTGTAAGAGGTGTCCCAAAAAAGTAAAGTAATAAAAGGAAGTACCTAAAAACCGTCCAGGCCATATAGAATGGCCAAAAACAAACAGACAGACAGAGCCTTGGTTGAAAAATTTAAAAGTGGAACGTGAAAGATTCTGAGTCTGGGAAGTGCAGGAAACAATAAATAAAGGAAGGAGCTACGGATCTGGACAGTTAAATGGAACCTCCCTGTCCAGGGCAGTGTATCTGTGAATTAAAGGTGCAGCAGTCCAAACCAGTGATGGGAGGGAAGCGTATTTTTCAAATCTTGCAATGTGGAACTTTTAGAGGGATTTGGGTGACTGCTGCAGAATACTGCTTATGCTTCACGGAATCAGCCCTCAATCTTACTCTGCAGGGCCAGTGTTTAATTAATTATTTTTAACTAATTATGTGAAGATTAAATTAAAATTAAAACCAGTCATACTGTCTTGTTGGCACTCGCTGAAGTCTTCCAGGAAGCACTTCTTGCCATCCGTCTTCTGCTGTGACGCAGAAGCCAATTAGCAGAGCCTCCTTGCCCCAAGGCAGTATACCTTAGAATTGTTAGCTAGCTTGCCCAGGCACCCAAGAAATGGCAGTCTGTTAACACGACCTGTTCAGGAGCTCTTTGCCAGCCTTCTGCTAGAAACGACGTCCCCGGTTAGCCAGATCCGGCCGTAACACTCATGGGTTCTTAGCGCTGGCATTAATCCTTGCCTGCCTTTGCATTCTTCCAGCCTTTGGCAAGAGGTTCTTTATTTGCTCAGGAGAAAGGACGTGATGGATTTCCCAAGGTCAGATAAACCTGGATTCTGTCCCCTCCCCCCCGTGGCCCCCCAGGGAGGGGGCAAGGAAAAACCCAGGCCGAGAATCTAGCATTAAACAGCCAAGAATGCTGCAGAAAAATCTCTACATGAACCTCATCAGCAAGCGTGGTGTTTGCGTTTTGCAGATATGCCATAGCTAAAGATTGCTGCTAGCCAAGGAGAAGGATGCAGGGATGCGAGAGAGAGAACCAAAATCAAAATAGAGGACCAAAATAAACTGTCTGAAAAAAAGCTCAGAGAACTGCTTCCTCTGCTCTTGAGGTCTAGAAGCCTGGAGGATGTGTTTTGGCTCATTTCCAAAGTGCAACCCTTGCTCAGCTTCCGACCTTGAGGACTAGTTGCTTGGTGCATTTGTTGCTTGCCAGAGGGAAGAGAAAGCAAGGGAGAAACTAAAACATTTTTGGCTTGGATGAACAGCCAGTGTAGACCAAATCATGAGCTTAGAAACAAGAATAGTCATTAATAATTATGTGCCGTTAAGTCCATTCTGACTTATGGCAACCTTTTCCAGGGTTTCCCAGATAGAGAAGGGGTTTTCCCTTCCTTTCTTCTGGGGGTGGCGCAGCTGGCCCAAGGTCACCCAGCCTGGCTGTTCTCCTGAGAGGCACCGTCGGAAATTGAACTCGCTCCACTGCCGGAGACCCAAAACCGCATGCAGCTGGCCCAAGGCCACCCAGCCTGGTTGTTCTCCTGAGAGGCACCATCAGAAATTGAACTTGCTCCACTGCCGGAGACACAAAACCGCACGGAACTGTCCAGCCAGCTAGCAGTTAAGAAGGACTTGTCAAATTTCTGCTGCTTGTTTTGGGACACTGAGAATTTCGAAAGGATTTGTGGAATTCTCAGATTCCTGCTTCTTCCCATGTTTTCTTCAACTCATTGATTAGCTTTTAAAAAATAATGAAAACAAACCATAGATTTCCTAGGAGATTGGGGGGGGAGGAATCCCATAAAACATTATTTTCTCCTCCATGTGCTAATTCTCTCCCCTCTCCTGTGTTTTAATTTTGGAAACCTCAAGGGGGCAATTATGTTTGCCCGATAAGAGGCCCCATTTGCCCTGAGGTCTCTGTTTTAATGGGGCTCACCTCTAGAGACCCTTGCAGTTAACTGGGGTGGGGTGGGGGAAGACAGAGAGATTTTTTAATTATTGGAGGTTATTTTAATGAACGTTGTATATCAGCAAGGTAGCCTGTCTCCTTTGGTCCCTAGCCCTGCTGGTGAATATCATTAGATTTATTTTTTAAGGTGTCAAAATGATAAATGTATTAAAATATTAAGATTTTGCTTAGGTATTGCAAAAAGCGAATTATCTATGCAGATGCAAATGAGTTAGCCAAATCCCAACGGAGATTTGTCGGCCTTTGTACAGTATATTCTAGCTAACCAGCGGTTTATACACTTAGAAGGGGCACTTTTATCTTGAAATTTTTTATATGTAGACATTTGTCCAAAATTGGTCTCCCAAAGCAGCTTATAGACCTAAATATTAACCTGATAAAGTTTCCCAAAATGTTAAACTGGGCTTGTAATGCTCATCACGCTAAACCGTGGTTTCCCTTATCATGGTTTGTTGTTTTCCCTACAAATTGTCCTGCAAGCAACAAACTAACCGTGGTTTGTTTCCTCCATTTCTGGGCTGGTTTTTTCCCACCACTTGTAACCACTCCTGTTTGAGGATGGACAGCCAGGGGAACAAGCTGGGCTGACCCAGGTTGATATGTTCGGACATTGAGGCTCAAGTAAGCCAGAGCTTATAAGACAATCTAGGATTTGCAGTTGTGGTTTTGTGAGTAATTAACAAACCATGGCTTATTCAGAGAGGCAGATTCAGACAGAACAACCGTTTCAAAACTGACTTATCTTTCCATAGTTGGTGGCCCGAAAACCAGATCGGATCCCTAGGGACCCCTTTGAGGGGGATAACTCTTCTGAAATAGAAAGGAAAAGAAAAGAAAAGAAATTAAAGTTTGGCTCCTGTTCGGTGCGGACTGGGCTTCTGTTATGTTACAGCCCTTTGACCAAACTTGAATTTTCCTTAGTTTCATCACTGTGGATAAAAAAATAATCATTAACAATGACAGTTGACACATCGTTCTTACACAGTAAACATCCTGATTCTAGCATTACTTCCTGCTTTCCAATTGAGCTTTAGAAATTCCTTTCTTTCAAAGGTTACGCCACACGAGGAAGAAGGAAGGGTAGAAATTTTTATCTGTGAATGAGGCTGTTTGAAATGTTGCGGAATGTTTCGAGACTGTATGACTGAAGGACGGTTGCTTTTAGTTTCGTTAACATACTTGTTGGCTGCTTCATAAGACTGGCTCCCCAGTGGGTGTAACGCTAAAACAATGCAGTTTTTAAAAATAATTTCTAGAAAAAGGAAATTTAACTTCAACAAGCAATTAAAAATAAGCAAAAATTACAGGTATTAGGTGGGTGTGACGACTCTAAAAACAATTTCGCCCACCACAGTTTTTCCTTTCTGTGGGATGCCGAGGAGAAGGATCACACCTTATTATCTTGCTTGTGTTTCCAGGCCATCGTCCTGATTCACTGGCTGCTGACCACTTGGTGAGTTTCTTTGCACGGCCCTTCGTGAGTTCCAGACCGTCTGTGCGAAAATTGTGCAAAGATGGCTGAGCCTGTCTGTTATCTGAGCTGACGGGGTCTTGTGTTTCGCTTCATTTTTTAATACCATAATGTGATGGCTCTCTGTCTCGAAATGATGTGTGTGTGTGTGGGGGGGGTCAGCTGTGGGGACTGAGACTACAGAAACTATCAGCAGATCATCAATATACAACTCGGTGAGTCTGACCCGAGTTTAGAAGCAGTACCATTTTGGACTACAACCCCCCTCCCCTGGCATCCCCTTTCAAGCAGCAGAGGCACCTTTTTACTCTAGAAACCTTCCTGTCCTCCTCTCAGCTCCTTTTTTGGGGGGGAGGGTGCAGAATGTCCATTCGGGGGGGGCGTTCTGTGGGAAAACACTCCACCGTTTGCTCCGGAAGCGGCCCGAATTCAGAAGTATTTTTGGACAGTCGCCCAATGTCACGATGCGATGCTTAAGCAGTTCCAAAGAGATTTTGACATTTTTGTGTGGGGGGAGGGGAATAGAAATGAAACTAACTGCTGTGGGAAAAAGCCCCGAATCTTTTTATCATCTTTTGTAAAATTATTCCTGAATCTTTTGTTACTGACTTATGTCTTGGGTATGCAGCTGTCGTTTTATTCCTTTGCTTTCTCTTCCCCCAACTACAGGGGCTGCATGATGCCGTGGGCCCCTATTTCTTACTCGTGGGGCAATTTTACCATCCTTGCCTTGGGCGTCTGGGCAGTGGCTCAGCGAGATTCTGTTGATGCCATACTCATGGTTAGTTTTCTCTTTTTTTAAAAAAATGGGCATTTGGTGGGTTTGTGTTGGAACAGGTGGCGGGACAATGAAGCTTGGGAGTAAAAGACAGCGATTTGAGGGAGCTGGGCTGGGCCCTCTGCCACCTGGGAGGAAGGTGGCCATCGAGAGAAACCTGCAGGTGTATCAGAGTACTGAGTTCAAGGGACCTCTTGGCTGTTCCTTCCAGTTCCTCACCGGCTTGCTGCTGACGATCGTCACCGACATCATTCACTTAGGGCTGTTCTACCCACATGATGTAGAGGGCATGGGGGACACCGTGCGCTTCTCCGTCGGCATGGCCATCTTCAGCCTCCTCTTGAAGCCGGTGTCTTGCTTCTTGGCCTACCAGATGTACCGGGAGAGAGGTGGAGAATACACTTTCAACGTTGGTATGTGCTCTTTGCCGGAGAGAGACCATGTTTCTCTCTCCATGCGCATTGTACATGGCGTAAGACTCATGCTGATAGAACAACACCCTCCCTTCTCCCTCCACACAAGCATTGCTTCAGTCCTTGCAATGTATTCCCTGTGTGCTCTTTTTTGGGGAGGGGGTTGTCCATGTGGCTTCATCTCCTTCTGTTTGAGCCATGCACACCCCAAAATCATATATTCCCCCCCCCCACGAATGAAAACAAACATCTCAGCTATTCCCTCAGCATCACTTTGGCTACCATGCTTATCCAAGCAGGAATGTTTTTGACACTATGAATGTCATGATGCTCCCGATCGTGAAAGCACAAGTGGCCGATGTGCCCAGGTTGGAAATGTGGCTTTGGGGGAGGGGGGACTGCATCTCCCAGAATGCTTTGGGTGTGCTAAGTAGAGGGTTGTGGATGTTGTAATCTGTAATGTCTCCGAGCTCAGTGCCTGGTTAGCTGCCTACTCTCTCCTTCCATTCTGTTAAAATCATCTCTCTCTTTTCTTCTTCCTTAGCAGGCGTGCTCAGCGTTAGGCAGGATCGTAGTGCCTACCAGACCATCGACACCCCGGATCCGCCCTCTCCCTACCCAGATGTGGCCAGCAAAGCTCCCCCACCTCGCCTGTATTGAGTGGCTTCTGCCTGGAACGAACTCAGAAAAACCAGGCCCTTGCTTGGGCATGCGTGGAAAACACACACCGTTTCCCTCCGTCGGTTCCAGACTGGTTTCTTGTAATTCTTTTATTTCCCAGCTAAATTTGTCTCTCTGCCGTTACAGCCTGCCTGATGGGGGGAGGCCAGATCAGAAGACTGCTGTATGGAAAGGGAGCTTAAGGGGTTACCCGAAAGGAACTTGGGAAGGCGTCGGTTTCGCGGGACACCCATATGGGGTGGTGCTGGGCAGAGAGGCTTAATGCCTGAGCCAGGATTTAACGGTGGGTCGCTCGCTCTCAAGGGGTGACTCACTTTGTCTGAGCCAAAGGGATGAGGGCATCTTGATTCCCGTCGTCAAGATCTCTGCTGTGATTAGCCACAGGAATGCCTGGATGGCCCTAAAGGTGTCGATGCGACGGTCATCTCTTTTTTGAAAACCTTTTGCCCGAAAATACACAGCTTCCCTCCCTGCAGGGTCGTCGTTTTGTTTGCTACAGGGTTTCTCTCCCCCCCCCACCCTTTAAAGAGAATTTATGAACCTTTTAAATAAAACATTTCACACACACTGGGGTCTTGAGAGCTTGGAATCGTTTGTGCGCCTTAACGAGAATCTGGCCTGTATCCTTTGGAGGTTAACAGGCAGGTGGGACCCAATGGATTTTGAAAAGGAATGGAAAGCCAGAAGGCTATGGAGATTCGAATCCTTCAAAGGTTCTTAAGTTTTTGGACTCCAGCTCCCATCCAGCATAGGCAAGTGGGTCGGGGAGGATGGGATTTGTTATTTGCGGTAAGCGGGGTGGTGGTGTCTGAGTGCATGAGCTAACGCAAGAAGGATTTAAAGCAAAGACTTGACCACCACCACCACCAACAACAACAACAATAATAACAACAACAACTTTTAAAGGGTAGGACCTAAATGGGGTCTGAAGGCAGAGTCTTGTCGGCCATGTGACTCCAGGGGCCGGGCCCACCATCTTTCGCCAGCTGTCCTCTTGTTCCAGTGGAACTGCCCGAGACTGGAATTATTGACAGCAGGAACTTTAAAGCAAAGACTTGAAACAACAACAACAACAACTACAACAATAAACCTTTTAAAGGGCAGGACCTAAATGGGGTCTTAAGGCAGAGTGTAGTTGGCCATGTGACTCCAGGGGGCGGGCCCACCATCTTTCGCCAGCTGTCCTCTTGTTCCGGTGGAACTGCCCGAGACTGGAATTATTGACAGCATGAACAAGGACCTCATCTGCTGTTGCCTTCTAGATGTCCTTGCTCTCTCTTGTGGTTATGCTCCATCCTTACAACATCCAGGAGTGGAGGTGAAGGGTGGGAGTTATAAGACATATATAACATTTCTGTATTGTTGTCTGCTCTCCCTGTTTTAATGCAAAGGGAATTTGGGGAGAATGTTGATTTTGAAAAGGGAGTTAAGAAGATACTTCCGCTTTGCAAAAGACCTGCTCCAGAGGGAGAAGAACCTCCTGGGCCAACCTGGGCTTCTTGGTGTGGAATGACATAGATTTCTGCATGCTGGGATATTTCTCCGTAGGCCTGGCTGTGGGATTATCGGGGTGAAAAGCTGAACCACAAAATAGGCTAGGAAATCGCCACTGACAATCGGCAACTGCCAATCGGCAGTCACTCTTTGGGGGAGTTCGCAGTTTACATGTGCAGGGTCCTGGGTTCGAATCTCCACCCATCTCCAGCTGAAAGGAAATCAGCTGGGATGCAAATTACTCCTCATGAGGTGCTGTTGGTTCAAAGCAAATGGGATGAAGTGGGAGACCAGGGAAACTTCGGCTCTTTTAGACAAAAAATCCCAGAATCCCCAGCCAGCATTATCAGTGGTCAAGGGTAATGGGGCTTGTAGTCCATAACAACAACCCTTCTTGAATAGAAGGGCCAATGGTTTGCTGCAGAACGAATAGCAGCCTCTGAAATCAGAGTTTGGGAAAGTTACCCAGTTGGAGGATTCTGGGATCTGTAGTCCTAAAACGTAATTCCACCCCTCGCTCCCAAGCTGCTCGTTTGGGGTGTATTTTCCTATTTTTATTATCATAACAAGGCCTCCAGCTTTAGCCGGTGGACTGGCTAATTGAGACTTTCATTAGTAGAGTTTTGTTTTAAATAATTAAATCCATGGAGCGATCAAGCCATCTTTGCTCAACTTGGGATTCCCCCCCAAAACTGGGAAGTGCTCTATTTCTGGACTAGGACTCCCAGAATCCCCTGGGTGGCCTGAAGAATTCTGGAAAGTGTAGTCCATAAAACCCATCAAGTCTGCATACCTCTACTGGAAATGAAATAAATTGTCTGGTGTTTATTTTTTAAAGCCCTCTGTAGCTTGCCTTGGAGTTTACAAAAAATGATAAAAGACTTTTTTTGTGCAAGTCAAACCAGGGAGTATTCTGGGAGTTGTAGTCCCCAGGATTTGAGGTTCCCAGGCTCTGCTATGTGATCCCGGACCGGCCTGCTCAGCAAGGTTAAAAAAAAATATTTTTTGCATCTGGTCGTTCCTCGAGATTACCCTGCCGAGGCCCCTTGGGAAAGCCCCAGCGCCGCGGCCGTGCGAACCCCCCTTGGTTTCCCCCCGTTGCATTTCCGTCGGTTTAAAAAGGAAGGCGCGGGGAAGCGGAAAGCAACCGAAAGTAAGCGGGGTTGCCATCCCAGAAGTGTTTGTTTGTTTTTTGTTTTTTTGGAGGGGGAGATCCTTCCCTCTCTTTTCCAGCACCCCCACCCTATTTGGGGGCAGTCTTCCCTAGTGATCCCCTTCCCTAGCCACTCCTGCAAGACAGATGTCTGATTTGGAGCCGGATTCAGATCCTGATCCAGACTGACCTAGGAGAGCCAGGGATGTAGCTGGGGGGGGAAATCAAGGTAGGATATTAAAAAATGAGAAATAAAACTGTAAAAAAAGGGCATTTAAACGGATCGCCGTTTTCCCCTCCCCAAAAGGTTGCACTTTTGATATACAGTATATTGATTACAGCTCTCGCCCCAGCCACTGGCCGCCCTAAAGGCGGCAGATGGGCCTTGTAGTCCTGCAGACAAAAACATCGAGAGGGCTAATGGTTGCCCACTGTCTTTGCTCCGCTTAGCTTTGGCGGATTCCTGCAGATTTCCTCCTGGATCGGATCTACCGCTCAATAGCTGGACCTTTGCTACCGAGGGGCAGGTCTCGGAGAGAAAGGATCGAACCTGCGTCTCCTTGGATAATTTAAAAAGAGGTTCGGTGGGGCGCAGGGATCTCGTTGGAGCTGAGCCTGTTAAAATCGGAAAGGCTTAAGGCGGACTCTTCAGCTGATTTGATTTGTGGGGGGGTTTGCTCTGAAGTTGGCATCTTGAATTAATAGAAGTCAACCGCCTTTCAACTAGCAGCTTGTTTGCTTTCTTGTAGCTTTTGAAATGGTTAGATTTGGTCCCCAGAGGCATTTATCTACAAACAAAACCCAGCCTGTTTCCCACCCAAGCTTTTCAAATGTATCCTTGGTTCTCCAAATTTCTAAATATTTTGCAAAAATCGGCCTAGTTCTCCATGCTTTGTAACCTTTTTACAGCGCGCACGGTATTATTTATTTACGTATTTATTTGACTTCTTTAACATAATAGCCAATAATGGCTGTGCTTTGTGGTCCTTCTGCCAACTCCTGCAACATTGCTGGAACCAGTTGTATTGGCTCTTGCCTTTCCATTGGACCATTTCAGCAACGTGGAGAGGGGGGATCTGCTGCTTGGGTAACAGCCTATCCTCCATATTACCTTACCCAGGCTTCATGCTCTGGAGAGGACACTCCTCGATTCAGAACATGTTACCATAGTCTCTCGAGACTGAAGGATGCCTATGCTATGCTATGCTATGTGGTGGCCAAGTCTCCACTCGCCCCCCCCTTTCGGAGATAAGGTCAGCCCCTATCTAAATTGAGAAAGCTGGATGAGAGGGTTCTTTGGAAAAGTTACATTTTTTGGACTAGATAGCGCCCAGTTGGGCTCTCTGCTTCCTGAACAGATGCTGATTAGAAAGTTGGCTTTAAAAGAACCCAAACTCACAAAAGCTAAGGTTCTAGTCCTCCTTGTGTGAGCAAGAGGGGTGGGAAGAAAATCCACAGAGTCTGCTGTTTGTTTTCAGTGATTGGGGGGGCGCACGAGAATAATAATTGCAGGATGTTCTCGCTGTTTGGCAGGTCAGCGTTGAGCCCATTTTACAGACAGGAAGGGGGCAGGCAACTGAGAACCAATCTCCTTAAACTGGTTTTTAAATCCACATACGCTGGACCATGCACGGGGGTGGGGTGGGGTTTGCTGTTGTGCTTTTTCCCATTTGCTCATCTCCCATTGCTTTGACCTTCCAAGGAGCTTGTTCCACTGCCCCGTTTGCGCTTATGAGATGGGCCTCTGAAGAAGCAAATATTTCTCTTACAGGGGCCATGGAGAACCTGACCCGGGTCCCACAAAACGGGAGGAAAGAAAACATCCCGCCGCTTTTCAGCCGCTATGGGATGCTGGGTAAGTCAGATTTCTTCGGTATTCAATACATCCTCAGGCGGTTCGAAGTTGCCCATGGAGGATCTGGGTTCAAATCTCCCGCAGTCAGGAAACTCCCTCTGTGACCTGGAGCTGATTGGTGGTGTCCCCTCGGCCGAACCTACCTTGAAGGTTTGTTGTGAAAATTAAATGCAGAGCCAGGAAAGCCGCCTCTGCAAGAACATTTAGCAAGACAGAAGCAAGGCCGCAGGACCTAATAAATAAGTAACTCTTGTCTTTAAGGCTGGGATTTAAGGATTTAAGCCGCCTAGAGTGGTCGTACAGATGGGCGGGATACAAACCAAATCAATCAATCAATCAAGGAGAGTTCCTTGCTCAGCAGATTGGTAGCCAAGTCAGAAGGCAGCCTGCCGGGTTTCTCCATTAATGTGTTTTGGATCTGACCCTATCTTGGGGTTTTAATGAGCTGTGGATCAAAGCTTCTCCGGCCCCCTCCGTTCTCCTTAATTCCACCTCCTCGAACCCAAGACATCTGAGGAGCCAGAGAGGAACGACCATCCTTAATCGTGGTCCTTAAGCCTCTTAGCGCGACTCAGCTGCCTCCTCCTGCTCTCCTGTTCCTGGATTTGGAGCGTTAAAGGCTTGCAGGTTGGCCGCCCGAGGGAGTACACACCACAGCAGTGTGTGTGTTTCTTTCTGTGTGTGTATTTCCACTATCGTCAAGGTCAGAGGAGCGAACACAAAGGAGCATCTGTTTGGGGGGGCCCTTGAGGTCCGGGACGGAGACCGGCGGGATGTCCCGCGATGGTGCTCGGAGTGAGTAAGGCCTGGTGCGGAAGAGAGAGACGGTTTTCCGCGGGGAGGTGCGTCGTTAAACTTGCGTTGGTAGAGTCCCCTCCGGCTAAGAAGGGCTTAGCATAGATGCTGCTTTCGTGAGCTGTCGTTCTTTGGGGTTGTGAAATGGGCAACCCTCCTGGATGTAGTGTATTTTTCCTGGAAGCGGGGGTGGGACCAAAGGGGGAAACTGCAACAAAAGGTTGCAGCGCGTTCTCGTTTCCTAGCAAGACCTTTCTTCTCCTCGAGTGACTGCCGGCTAGCCTAGCGTTTAGGATGCTGTCATCCAAGGTCAGGGCGCGTCTTTCAGGCCCAGATCCCGTTTCCAGGAAAATTCTCGGCCCATGTGTGTGTTTTCTGGGGGTGCCTTTCAGAAATGGGTAAAGCTCAAAGCAATGGGGTGGGGGGCCAGAAACGCCCGGCACACCTTTTTTCTTGGTTTTAAAGCTTTTGATGTCCGTAACAGAGCCTTCCCACCCTTGAAAATGGGGGAAAGCGGGTATAAAAAGCTGGGGGAAGCACAAAACAGTGGCGTTTTTTGGGGTGAGGACGCAGCTGTCTCTGAACAACCCCGGAGGGCCAGATTGATCGCCACGGCTTTCACTTCCCGACCCCTGCTGGTCATCAAAACAGGACATTTGGCCATGCTACCACTGCAAAAATTGCCCGTTTTTCTGCTTCTTTTTCCCCCAACCATTGTTCTGTCTTTTGGGGGGGGGGCTCAGCTGAGGACGCTCAGCTCCCTCCCAGCATATGATGGATTTCTCTCCACCGCTCTTCCAAAAGTTTTCAATTTCAATCGCCTGTTTCTCCGAGCATCCTAATATTTCATGTCTTGTTTTTCATGGCCTCTTTTTGGGAGGGGGGGGGGCTTTGTCCCCGTGGGCCGTTTGCCAACTGGTCTTGGGAAGAAGGAGCCATTATGGGCTCCTTGTTGTGTCGCTCTGTAAAGAGCTTAAGGGACTTACAGTAACGCAGGGGTGGGTGTCACAGCTTCTCCAAGGACTGGTTGTCTCTCCCTTGTTAATCCAAGATCCTGGGACTGGATTATTGAAGTACACGGCCAGCGCCTGGAGAATCTCAGCTTGCATTGTGCTAAACAAACCCCTTTAAGTCTGTAACACTTACATTTGCAGCTAGAAAATACCTAGAAGCTGAACATTGATATTGTTGTTACAGCTTTATTATTCTGTGATGCCGCGGAATGTTCATAACCCTCCTAACTGGTGAAAGGTGAGGGACTGTTTCAGAGCTAATTATTAGCAACTGGAAGGCGATGGAGATGAAATGTATTTGATGTGTTCCTGTTATGAATGGCAAAGCCTATGTTTTGTTCCGCTCCAGAGCAAAGAAACGTCCAGAAAAATGTGAACCGTAATGTGGACCTGTCTGCCGAAAATCTCATTAGAGTTTCAGACCCAGCTGCCAGTGGATCAACCTGTCCTGGAGCAATCCCGCAAGGCAAATCACAGTCCGCATCTTTAGGAAAGAAAGCTGACAAACCACACCACACGAGCCGAGTCCAGACCAACTTCTCTTGTCCGGACTGGCTTTTAGGAGATCTCTCCAGCCCTTCTCCCTCCCAGAAGCAAAGCAACCTCGCATGCAAGCTGCAGAGGCATGGATCGGAAAACGGGTCACGGATCGCCGGCCCTCCCCTTCTTCCTGCTGGACTCTGCTCACACTCGGGCCAGCCGGGTTTGAAGAGAGACCCCCTGAAAAAACTGCCCTGTCGACATCACACTGCTCGGCGTACCTGCCCTTCTTCCTCCGAGGTCCGAATACAAGGCAAGGACCCCCAGGCGCTGAAACAATCACAGGGTCCTACTTCTGTGCCAAGAAGAAGGGGTGGAAATCTTTACAGCCAGGGAGGTGCCTCCTTTCCATCCCAGCGGTCAGAGGTATCATCCTTTCCACACCACCCTCATCCTTCTGTTTGGTGTCCCGAAAGAAACGCGGATCCTTCCCCGGCCCTTACCGTAGACCATCTGGACACTTCTCCTCCATCGGAGAGGCGTCCTTCTTCGGCAGCGTTCCAGGCCCTCCTGCGGTCCTCTCAAACCTCTGCCGAGCTTCACGGTTCCCTCCGGCGGCTGGAGGAGCAACTCGCCATGGGGGCCTTAGGGTCTTCCCCCTGGGAATCTAAATCTCCCCGGCCTTACAGATCAAGGAGCAACCCCCGGGCATCCACCTTGGGGACGCCGAGCCTGGCGGAGTGGCTGGCCGAGGAGCAGAGTTACGCGAAGCACGCCAGGGCGAAATGGCACCCCTCCTTCCGTGGTGACTGGAGGCCCGGCCCTACGAGCGACGGAACTGGAGATCATGACGGCGCCTCCTTTCTGACCGGGTTCAACGACTTTGGGTTGTACGCATCCTCCGTGGACCCTCGGGACGGCTCTCCTTCGGCAGGTTTCTACAGCCAGGTTGGGGCCACCTCGTTGGGTCAAGGAGAAGACCTTGCCTCCAGCCGTTCCGTTCTTTTCGAACCCGGCTCGCGACCCCGTTGGGCCCTAGAAAGGAAGAGAACCTGGAGCGACCCCAAGGAAAGGGGGCTGGATGACCCTTCTGCTGGGACCTCCTGTCCCTCCAAGGGAGGTCCTGAGAGCCTTCCCTCCGGTCTTCTCTCCGTGGAGGATCTGGAGATCTCCCTCAAGACGTTGGGTGCCAAGGCTTCGCTGGACACAGGGGTTTCCTTGTTCGACACCCCACGGGAAGTGCCCTTGAGGGTCGGTTCTCTCGGTGGCCTGGAGATCATGTCTGCCCGCTGGCTTCACCATCGCCCCAAAGACCTGGACGTTGGTGAACCTCAAGGTCAGGCAGGAGACACCGGAAGAAACCCATCCGTTGCCAATTGGGTAGGGGAGTATGGCTCGTTCTTGGCTCACCGGAGACTCAGTCCCTTTGGGGCCGCTGCCAGGGAAGGTCTCCGGGAAGGTGCGCGAATGGCCGGCAGGGCGAATGTGGTGGATTTCATCGACCCCGTTGGTGGAACGGCAGACGGCTCCTCAAATTCCTCCCACTGTGGTCCACGGACCGGTGAGGGAGGGGATCCAAAGCAGGACTCTTGCATCCATCCGGCTCGGCCAAACGATGACCTCTTGGGTCGTAAGGAGAGTGATCACGCCTTAGACGCCGTACAAGAGGAGGTAGGTTTCGCCTCTAGAAGGTTTGAAGCCTCGCCGATGGAACCGTGAGTTGTCGGCATCTGTAAAACAGCTTGGCCTTGGCTGAACGCCAAGATAGGTCCCTGCCCCAAGGACTTTACAGGCTAGAACACCTGCAAGGTTTGGAATCTTTGGGTGCTGAAGATCCTTGAACGTCGTCTCCGGAGTTTCCAAACAAGGGGCGGGTTGGTCCATAATAGGCGGGGCTCTTCTTGACTTCCTCTTTACTTACTTGTAGGACCTGGGAAAGGAGGACAGACCGATGGACAAGAAAAGAGATGGGTAAGAGGGAGATAACGGGCTGGGTGGGTGGGAATTTAGAAAACAAACTACCAAAAAATGACATGAAAGGAAAAATGGAGGAGGAGGGCAAAGGAGAACCAATCTACTCAGTCCTCAGTGGTGAATGGGATGAGATTCTTCAGTCTAAGAGAGACGGCTGCTGGATTGTAGATGGAGGAGAAGCAACGCCCAGCAGAGTGGTCTTTTCAAGGGGTGGATGATCCCCACCCCACCCCACTTTCTTCCTTAGCTCCATAGAAGAGCTTTCAACGTTGTTTTTAACCCGCTAAAGCTCACGTGGCTTATCCAATGAGAGTTCTGGAAAAGAGTGTCCATGCTTTTCTCCTTCCCAGGATTTGGACGCCGGGCAGCGGCCCCGTGCTGGCGAAATCGTTTCTGGCTTGGCGGGACCACGTTTTGGAGAAGAAGGCTGCGGCCCGGGGGCTGTACGAGCGCCAGCTGTTGCGCAAGGGGCTGGCTGGCCTGCAGTGGGCGGTGGAGCTGAGGAACCTCATGGTGGGCATCGCGCAGAGGAGCCACGCCTTGGCGGTCCTGGCTGCCAGCTTCCGCAGGGTAGGGAAACCCTGGGTCTTGGGGCTGGATGTGGGGAAGGGGGGTTGCTAAGTTACACCAATTCTGAGTCTTGGCCCTCGCTCGGCAGCCAAAACTCTCCAGGGATTTCACACAAACATTTTCTTGCTGCTCGGGGACCCCCCCCCGGGGGGCTTTCCACCTGCTAAGGTCTACTCACGATCCACCACCTTTCCTTGATATAAACAGATCCTTCTCACCACGAATTAAAATAAAACGCTTTTTTTGAGGGAGAGCAGAATCCATGTAAGGGGAGGTCTTTTCTTTTGTCAGTGGCAAGACGCCACGGCGGAGCAGCGGGCGGTGCGGCCGCAGGAGGAAAGGGCTCCTGAGCCTGGCCCTCTGGCGCCTTCAGGAAGAGACGGGTTCGGGAAACGCCTCCTTTGGACCCAGCTGTCGAGGGACCACCAGGAGGAAGCCGCCCGATACAGCAGGTACGCCACGCGGAGAGGGGAATTTGGTGTGCCTTCTTCAGGTTGGGTGTTTTCTCCACTCGAGGTGGCCGTCAAGATTTTGCCGCTCCTCTCCGCCCTGAGTAGAATGGCGCTTTCTAACAAGGAGTGATAAAATAAGGGAAAAAAGCAAGTTTCTAGACCTCATTGAGGCTCAGTGAAAATCTTGGGGAGGTGAGGTAAAGCTTCTGGGCCCTCTGTCGTCTGTTCTTGTTGGAGGCGAAATATTCCAAGAAAGAGAATATTTGTCCTTGATCCACAGCCCTGCCAGCGGCTTGCAGGCGGAAGAGGTTATAACCTGAAGGGGCTGAAAGAAGCCAGGTGAAGGAAGGTGGCTGTAGCCGATACACCGTCCTGCCCCTTTAGGGTGAAATGAAATACCGCGTGCCTCTCTTACAGGGCGGAAGTGGGGATCTGGATGCAGTTCCGCCACACGCACGGAGCGGACGAGCTGTGCAGGAAGGTGGAGGCGGTGCGAGACATGAGGCGGCTGGCTGGTAGGCATTCTTTCCAGAGTGGTTATGGTCTGGCGTCTAGTTATTTGTCATTTTTTAAATAAATGTATACACTGCTTAGGAAAACACACAGACTCCCGGGAGGTCATCTAGTCCAGCCTGCTTGCCCACTCAGGAAATCCTGAATAGATGGTTTGCCCCTCCCTGGATGTCCGAGCGAGTCGATACCCTTCTTCCTCTCGGGTGCCCATCGTCCCCGCTCGCTTAGAAAGAATTGTGCCTTTCAGACCTCATCCCGCAACTCTGGGGCGTTTCTGGTTTTCTTTCCTGTCTCCTGTGCTACGCAGCAGCTTTCAGACTGTGGTGCCTTCAGAAGGAGCGCCTGGACAGAGTGGAGGCTCGCGCCCGAGAAGCTCACGCCCTCCTGCAGAAAAAAAAGCTGTCCATCCTGTTTCGGAAGTGGCGTTCCCGCTACCGGGCAAACCGACGGACCTGGCAGGTGGTGGCTCGGATCCAGAGAGGGCTGATCTGCCGGTGAGCCCATCAGAACGGAAATCGTGACTGTAAAGTTTCTTGTTTGCTTAGTAAACAGCTTTTTTTTGGCCTTTAGTGCTGCCCTTTTCACAACCATCTTGTAAGGTAGGACAGCGTTGCTGTAGCTGCATTCTCTCTGCATCTTTAAACTAGAAAGACTGCGTATTGGGCTTGTTGCTTACAAAACAAGGGAACTTACTACTGATCTGTGACCCCTGCCCTTTCATTATGTATATATCCCCTCATTTGAGAAAATAGCCATCATGGTTTATCTCGCTAAACTGTGGCTTATGGTTATCCTGGTTTATGTTAGCATGCTTTTGTCATTTCAGTTGCAAATTGCCTTGGCCATAGTTCAGTGGTCCCCACCCTGCCCCACTTCTGGTCTGTTTTTTCCTCTCCCCTTTTTTGTCAGCTTGAGTTGCATTCAGACATCTGGGGAAAACAAGCACAAACACTTCTACCAATCATGGTTTAAATAAACCATAAATCCACAAGGCAACAATAAACCCTGGTTTTGAATGGTGGTTTGTGGCAGGGAGGCAAACCATAGTTTTGTCTGCAGAGAGGGTTTAGGTGCCACTACAGAACAGGGTGGGCTTGAGACCAGACTCCTTTGGACTACAAGTTCCATAATCCACTGAAATGTAAGCTGCCTCTCCTCCTTTCTCTCCTTACAAGGTGCTTTGAGGCATGGAAGCGGTTTGCTGATCGGGAGGTGGTGAGCAGGCAGGCTCTGGAACGCCTGCGGGTCGGATCCTTGAGCCTCTGCTTCCACCAGTGGACCCAGATGGTCCAGATCCGGGAGAAAGCCAAGCATCTCCTGGTGGAATTTATGGCCGTGAAACGGAGGAAATCCTATGGTGAGGGACGGATCCAGCCCTCCCCTCTGGCATCTCATATAGCAACGTTCCTGTGACGAGGCCATGACTCACTTTAAAGAAGTTCCCGGTGGCCGAGAATTTTTTCTCCTTACCGATCTCCTCTCTTTCTCTTTCGTAGAAAAGCTGGGCTTGGCTGCACGTACGACCATCATGCAAGCCTGTGTGGATGTTGAAAAGTGGTCACAAAGGAGCGGAACCAGCCCCTTTGAGGGTCTCCTCTACGCACTGACCCTGCAGAAGGCATTTCTGATGTGGAAGGCGCGGTGGTGGGAATCCCACCTGGCCACGTAAGTTCTCGGCTCCAACCTCAGCAACGAGAGCATAATCTTGGCATCCTTTTTAAAAGCCAAGTTTCTAGTCCTCATGGGTAGGGAGAGATGGTGTGTAGGGTCTAAACTCTAGGCGATGAAACTGTGGAGGCCAGGAAAAGAGGTGGCTCGAACGGGGTGATTTCTTTACTTGGTTTGACTTTTATCTTTTCTCCCAAAATTTGAGGAGCAAGGCAGATCAGGACAAGATATGTAATTTTTTTAAATTTTACAAATTTAAAAAAAAAGGTTAAAAGGAGAGATGGTGCAGATTGGTAGAGCTGACACAGAATTCAGATGGGTTGCCTCTTTGGTTTTACTCCTGAGGAGTATCTATAGCCCTGGGACGGATTTCTTACTTATTTATTTGCTTTTCTACGTGCAGGGAAGTTTTCTCTCTCCATAAGGGAGAGGGTTCAGGTTTGCAACCTATAACAGTGCAAAGTTGCAAGTAAACGTTTTAATTTTCAGCATTTTCAGCCAAGCCCTGACGAAGCGCCAGCTGAGGGAGGCGCTGGCCTTCTGGTGGTGGAAGACCCTCAGCCTGCAGCCTTTGGGACTCAAGGCCAGCGGCGACCTCACTGAGGACTACCTCCTTGCGTCGCTCGGTTCAGAGGCGTCTTCCCTCTCCTCCGGCTTCCACAGCAGCGTCCCGGCCTTGCCCACCTCCAGGGGCTCTTTGGAAAAGGTGGGGAAATGTTCGGCAGCTGGCTGCCTTCCCAAACTGTCCCGTCCCGATGCTGGAAAACCTTAGGATTAAATTGGCATAAAACTTGAAAAGGGCCTCTTAAAAGAGTTCCCCTCCAAAAAAGAAGAAAAAGAAAAAAAGAGAAAGAAACTTTAAAAGGAACCTGGAAAAAGCTACTCTTAAAAGAATAATGAAACGTCCATTCCATTCATTGCATCACTTCTGAAATGGAACTTAGTTTCATTCTTAGTTTCATTGTAATTTTCTAAAAGTAACTGACTAGAGAGGATAGTTACTTTTAACTTTCTGCATCCAGGCTTTGATTCTGAGTCACAGAACTCATCCTTTTGTTTCTGGCAACAGGAAAATAGTCTGGAGGACAACAGCAATGGCAGCATCTCTTCATCGGCCATCGGTGAAGACTCTGGGCCTCTCCCCGCTCGCGAATCACCAGTCCTGAGATGGTCTCCAGTTCCGGAAAGCCTTCCTGATGTGGCTGTGGAATCCCACTCTCAGGCACCTTCTCCTCTACATCGTCCCCAGGCTGGGTTAGTTTGAGTGACTCCGATTTCATGGGGGCAAAATAATCCAATCCAGGTTTTGGACTGGGGCTCTCCAGGGTGCTGAAGTTGATCAAGTTGGGCTTCAGCACTGTGGAGAGCTCCCAGTAAAAGCTGGATTTGGACCTAATGGAAATCTGGACTGGATTCACCTCCACAGTGGATTGAGGGATGGAAATCTGAGCGCTGGGAGGCAAAGAGGCTCCAACATGGATGCCAAACAGATGCCAGAGTCAAATTCTATTGATCAGCGTTCCAGGCGTTCTCATCTCCCCACCCAGAAAACCGAATCGACCTCTTTGTTGGCGCAGCTGGGTGTCTGATTTTTGTTTTAATCTCTCCCCTGTCCACCCATCTGGCAGGGGTTTTCTTCCACGAAGGAAACGAGGCAAGCGTTCCGGGCCCGGCGAGGCCGTGTTGCCGCAGCGCAACAGACGGGGCTCAGGCGAGAAAGAGGCCCAGCAGGAGCCGTTCACAGGGCGGGCCAGGAGAGCAGAAACATCTGCTGAGCTAATTGGGGGAAAGGGGTTATATATATATATTTTTCCAGGGCCAGAGGGCTGGGGGATAAAATTTAGGAAGGGGGAGGAATTCCAGGCAGGCTTTGATCATCGGTTCCCGCTGTGCTTCACAGGGGAAGAGATTAACGTGATTTGGCCTGTTTTATTTTAAAAATACCCCCCCCCCGACAACGGGGCCCCGAATGAAAATTAAGCCTTGGTTCCAGATTGAAGGAGAGAAATCAGGTGGTCACAGCTTTGGGGAGGGGAAGATCATGCCACAGAAGAAGGGAGGCAGACGCTTTGGGGAGGGACAGAAAGAAAGAATTCCCAGAGACATCCAGGGCATGTCGTTGTAAAATACAAGGTGGGGCAAGAGATTTGTCTCAGTACACTGGCTGCGTATGGGTCTAATAGAGCCTCCCTGTTCTAGAGCAGTCTAGCCCCAAATTCCAGATGTTAGCAGAAAACGCCAGTTGAAAGTGGCGGCCTGAATCTCCACGAAAGGGACCAGGAACATCCAATGTCTTGTTGCCATCCAATGTCAGGGTAGCCGCCAGACTGAACAGCCAAGCCAATTCAAAGGCTCCCCCTTTGCTCAAATTAAATCTTTCCCGACCCGTGGTTTTAAGACCTCTCTCTCCCCCTTCCCTCCCGCCTTTATTTCTTTATTTGGGTTCTGTGTTCAGGGCTTTTGTTTTGGGGTCCGGGGCGTCATCCCAGGGTGCGGCGCTGCACGAGGCTGCCCTCCAGTTCCAGCATTCGAGGGAAAGGCATCTTCTGGCGTCCTGCTTGGGGAGATGGGAAGCCGCGCTCCGGAGAGCCCGCCAGCGACAACATCAGGAAGGCCACATCCATGGCGGTCCTGTCGGGCCGCACGACGGCGTACGGCGCTGGAGGAAAGCCACGAGGGGTTATCGGGAGCTGCGGTTCCGCTCCGTCAACCAGGTGAGCGCAGGGGGGCCGTGTTTTCACTGCCTCTGAATAATTTTACTTAAATTGAACCACACAAGGTTGTGTTATCATAAATTGGCTGCCTCTTGGTTCATCGGGGCCAGTATTGCCAGTATGGGACAAACGTGACCCCTTTCCAACATCCCATAAATCACATGCCTTCCCGAGAGCTGGGCAATGACTCACTTTGTGGCTTTGAGCTCTTCCGGAGTTTGGGAGTTCGATTCCCCTGTTGTGATTCCTTTGACGGGCTGGACTGGATGACCCCATGGGGTCCCTTCCGGCTCTGCAGTTCAAAGACGATCCTCATTAAGATTTTATCAGTGCATCTCCCTCCTACGTTTTGTGTTTTCTGTTTGCCCAGATCTTAATAAAATTGCAGAAAGGAAGGTAGATCAAGACCCGTCCGGATTCGTTGTAACCCTCATTTTCTCCGGCGTGACTAAACGCAGTGGTATAGTCAATGGGGCTCATAATATAGTGCTGCGTCTTCTTGATTTCCAGGCCGGCAGCTACTGGACCAGGGCATCGGCTGTCTGGCTCTGCTCCCTGCAACAGAGCAGCCACATTGGAGCCCGGAAACGGAGGAAACTCTACCTCGGCGGGTCCAGCCGTGAGAAGCTTTGCTTTCATGTCGCTTGCATTGTGGGGCTGGTTTGTGGGGTGGGGTGAAGCTGCCGGATGTATAGGTTGGTCAGGAGGGGTGGGCAAAAGGCAGCAAGCACCCCCCTCTCCCCCCCCATCTTGTGGGCCCCATTGATTGATCACTTGAAAAGCGGCTTTTTTGCTCTGCTCAAGGCCAGGAGCAGCTTTATTTCTTCAAAACTGGAGAGGATGAGAAGTCGAAGGTTCAAGCAGTGGGCCTGGGAGATCACGAGAGAGGGGTGCACGCGGCCTCTGGTCTCTGGAAGCCAGCGGCTCTTGGTTTAGGACTGCGTTTTGCTCATCCGAGGTCTTGTCTTGAAGGGCGAAGACGGAACGGAGAGGAGGGTCCTCATCCCGGCTCAGCGGTGCCCCCCAGCGCTTTCCGTGCCTGGCTGGCCGTCTATAGGCGCCAGAGCAGGAGCCTGGCAGAGCAACGCCCTCAAGAGAGCCCAGAGGTCGCCGGGCAGCTGCCCAGAGGGGACAGGATCCGAGAGGACCACAAGGAAGCGATCTCGGCCACGAGCCGGAAGCAGTGGCTCAGGTAAGGTCGGCGGCCGGCTGAGTCTGTTGATGCGTGGTTAGGGTGAGGCCGTTCCGGGTTATATTAAATCCCAGCGGAGTGTGGCACATGATGGCCCGGGGACACTCCCCACCCCGGGGATTATTTCTGGAGGAGAAATAAGTGCTTCCTCGGTTCTCCAGCCTTTCTCCCTTCGGCGGGCTGTTAGGGAAGGGGGACCCAGCTGGTGTCCGTGGCCAGATCCCCACCACCTCTGTGGTCAGCGTGTGTCCCGTCCTGCTTTCCAGGAGAAAATACTGGAGCCTGTGGAGGTGCAGCATCCTTCTCCGACACTTCCGGTCCGCCCGGGAGACGCGGCACCTGGTGAATTCTTGGCTGTGCTGGAAGGAGGCCGCCAGGACCCAGCAGGTGATCCGAGCCTTGGTGAGTCCTGTCACCACTTTTTGAATGGTATATACGTTGTTTGTGTCTGCCACTCGTCCGCCCTGGGAGGAGGGGGTCTTTTGTAAGGCTAAGGCCTCCTGATTGCCGACGGAAGCCCAAGCCCATCTTTGGTAAGGCTAATGGTTCCTCATCACATTCTGCATTGAGCAGGTCTTTGGTAAGGCTAAGGGCTCCTGATCGCCTATGGAAGACCAAGCCAATGTTTTGGAAAGCTAATGGCTCCTTACTACACATTCAACGCCAAGCAGGTCTTTTTGAGGGCTAAAGGCTCCTAATCACTCAGTCAACATCAGGCCAGTCTTGTGAGGGTCTTTTTGAGGGCTAAAGGCTCCTAATCACCAGTCAACATCAGGCCAGTCTTGTCGTTGAGAAGGAACAGATCCTCCTGGGGGGCAGTGGCATGTTATATTAGCCTCCTGGCTAAGCAAATCAATCTAATTATCTGCCTGTTGTCTTTTCTGGAGCATTATGTCCCTCCCCCAGCCCCATAGATTTCTGCATGAGAGATGGAGGTTCCCCTCCGTTTTTCCAACTTGTCCAGTGAAGGTCGGACAAGGAACTGGACAAGAGCCTGGAATGTGGCCCTCGTCCTGTCCTTCCAGGCAGGACAAGGGGGTTGCACTTGGCGTTTGGTATGAGAGGAAGGGCGGTCCCTTTTAAATCTGCTCTTGGCGTTCCCACCTTATCTGCTGCTCCTTTATTCTCTCTCCCCCCACACACACACACGGCAGGTGAGACGGAGGCTGGCCGAATGGAGCTGGAACACCTGGCGGCGACGATGCCTGCGGAGTTGGGTGGCAGAGCATTTCCGGGCCACCCACCAGAGGTGCCTGCTCGAAAAGGTATGGGCTCGGCGCTCCTAAACCACCATGGGGCAATCAGGGTGGGTCTGGGGGGGAGCACGTAGGGACCCTTTCCCGAGGGGAGAGCCTCCTTCATTCTAGAGTGAGAAAGCTGTTTCTTAGCTCCATTTCGAGCCACACTTTCCTCAAAAGAGCACAAGATGCGGTTAGTGGGGTTCCAGTCCCGACGACTTTATCCGCACGACAACCCTGCAGGGCAGACGACGACAAGGTCACCAGGGAATTTCACGAGCGGCGGGGGGAATTTTCAAGCCGGCTTTTCAGCAACTTCGCTCTGGCTGTGCGGCTGCTCTCCCGCACAGTATCCCCATGGTGCGGCAGGTCAGGGGGGGGCTGTCATCCTGATGCCCCCCCATTCTATATATCAGAAATCCTAACGATCAGCTCTAAATGTCGAACATCCCATAGTCAACTGCCTCTGCCTTCTATTTTCAGGCCTTTGGAAGATATCCCAATGCCCCCACGTTCTATATATCAGAAATCTTAACGATCGGCTCTAAATACCGAATATCCCATAGTCAACTGCCTCTGCCTTCTGTTTTCAGGCCTTTGGAAGGTGGCGTCTGCGCCTTGCGCAAAAAGCCAAGTAAAGTTCAAGCCGGCTGGAACACCTTCCATTTTAAAACCATTGCTGACATGCCGTGGCCTTTGCGCACGAGAAGGCAGGCGGGCTCCCTTCCCGGTTGGCACCAGAAGGCAAATTTCTTGATGGGTTAGAAAACCCTGCCAAAATCCGGAGCCGTCCCGTAACCATCGGCAGCCCTTCGCTTGGGTCTTCTGGACGACGGAACGAGCAGGGGGGGGCGCCCAGTCTATCAACGGTGCTCCGGTCGTCTTTCCAGTGGCCGGAAATGCCGGCTCAAGCTTTTACTGCTCACCGGGAAAGCTTTCCTGCAAAGGTTCCAGGCCGTGGCTTCTTTTCTCCAAGTAGACCCTTCCTGCACCCCCAAACGGGGGCATCTCAATTTTCTTTGAATGATGAGATGCAATTTTTTAAAAAAGCAAAGCCTCTCGCTGCTGGAAGCCCAACCCTCTGCCCGTCCCAGTGGCTGTTCATTCTTCGTTAGTGAACGAGCCAGCGAGCTCTCCTCCTGCTGATTAGGGTCATGATGAAGGAGCCTGCTGGGAACAGCTGAGCCTTCCGCCTCCCCCAAACCAGGCTGATCTCCCCCCCCCTCCGCACCCCCAGGGTTTCCTCCCTAGCTGCTGCCTGCTCATTAGCTCCCGGTGTAATCAATGGACAGGGAGGAGGTGCCGCTCCAGGCCCAAACGGTGCAGGAGGATGACAGAAAAAAAGGCTGAAAGCTGCCAAGGGTTTCAAGGGGGATCTGAAGGAGCCCACCCCCAACGCCTTGAAGGAGGACTGTGATAACTTCCTTTATCTCTGTGCAAGAATGAAACAAATCAAGATTTCTTCCCTACAAGAGAAGTGTGCATTCTCTTGCAGGAAGTTACAACAGGAGTGGTTTCGTTTCAGGGTGTTGTTGTTGTTTTTTTTTTAAACTCTTCCAAGCAGCGAATGGGGTGTTTGTGTCTTTCCGATGGACCACCCGGCCCTTCTGTGCTTGCCACGTGTGTGTTTTGCTTCTGTAGAGGAAAGGAACTAGTTCTGCCCTGAGAAATTTTGAGCAAACTGGAAGCCTCTTCAAGGAAAAAGCTTCTCTCCCTCTTGTACTGGAAGGGATAACTTACACGCAGGGCATCTAAATTCCACACTGAGACTCTCATCATGTCAAGAAAATATAAAACCAACAAGAACAAGGAGTTTAGCAAAAATGAGGAATTTTGCATTCCCTACCAGCCACAAACCACAATCAGAAACCATAGTTTGCTGCTATCTTACAAACTCTGGCTTGCTTAAACCATGTCTCAGCCCCAAATCATGGCTTATCTCTTAGCTACCTGGCCCGACGCAGGAGAAAGAGCGACAGGACAGGACGGAAGAAAAGCAGAAATGGGTAACATGAACCAGGATTTGTTTGGTTGTCTACTGTACACACACTGGCTTAAACAACAAAATCAGTTTAACACAACCTGCGGCTTCTTGCGATTTTCCAGGGAGCCTGCTTGTTCTAGGGACAGATACTCAGCTTGATGAGCCTCTCAGCTTTAATGTAAATAGGTTTCTAGTCCTCATTGTTTCATAATCAAGATTTCATATCCTGCTTCGCTGTTAAAGCATCAGGGTGGCTCCTGTGAACACTAAACATAAGAAAAAGCTAGTTTGCTGCACGCCTGCTGTGAACTTTATTTACTTCTGGAAAGCTTTATCCTATCTGTCAGCCTTAAAAAGTCTGGAAATAGAAATGCGTTATCTGGCTGTCCTCTGCCTGAAACCTGGTAGTTTTGCCATTGGGTGGAGGAGCCTTTAGTCAGATTTAATAAAAAGCCAATTTTCTGTGACTGCAGCATCAGACCAGACCCCCTTTTTTTAAAAAAACATGCCTCAGATCCTGAGAAAAGCAAATTTACCATCCCTAGTTCCTTAAAAGAACAGAACAACCAATTTTTATTCAATGTGTTTGCCTTTAAAAATCCAAAGTCTTTCCCAACAGAAGGAAACCGAGAGGAGGGATACGTAAATCCCACGATGCTGTGTTTTTAAAAATAAAAATAAATACCTAAGTCAACGGATCAACTGAGTCCACCCCTGCCTTCCCGGCTCTGCCCCAAGGAGGGTAGTTTTGCCATGGTCGAACACAAGGTGTGTTTGCCTTTAAAAATCCAAAGTCTTTCCCAACAGAAGGAAACCGAGAGGAGGGATACGTAAATCCCACGATGCTGTGTTTTTAAAAATAAAAATAAATACCTAAGTCAACAGATCAACTGAGTCCACCCCCACCTTCCCGACTGCCCCACGGAGGGTAGTTTTGCCACGGTCGAACACAAGGTTCTCCTGGTGGTCTCCCAAGGTGGAAAGCCCATTTCTGACCTAGAGATTAGAAAGCTGCTCATCCCGTTAACAGCTAAGCAACTGACATTGCACTGAAGTTAACAAAATAGTAAGTTTTTAAAGTGCAACCTGGGAAAAGGGGTTGAGGGTCAAGAGGGAAAGGCTGTCTGGGTTTCTAGCTGCCATCTGTCTCCATGCAAGGGAAGGCTCGTTCGGACCAAAATCCGGGTTTGGGATCTAGTTATACTTTTAGATTGAAAGGGACAGCACCTTTATGAACGGGCAGGGGGGGGAATGCAGCTCAACGCACCCCCTCCCCAGAGGAGTGTTTGGGCCACTGCCCTTCCATCCTGGAGCCCCAAGGTGGAGCGTGGTTCGGACCAAAACCCGAAAAGGGGCAGACGGGCAGGTGTGGGGGGGGAAGCGCTGGGTTCACTCCTCCGCAGGACCGTTCAGCAGCTCAAAGGTGTCTTCCAGGACCCGCCAGAGGCAGCTGTCGAGGGGGAAATCGTTGTCCACCAGGTTGACCAAGTAGTAGTTGTCGTGGATGTACTGGATGATCATGCGGGAGGGGGACTCCTCCTCGTACAGCTTGGCCCACTGCTCGATCCACAGGGCGAACGCCTCATCCTGGCCACATGGGCAAGAGAGAGAGGGGGGGGAGCGCAGTGAGACAGATCTTAAAGCTCAGCCGCCTGACGTCTGCTCTCCGCAAACAGAGGGGGGACTCCTCCTCGTACAGCTTGGCCCATTGCTCGATCCACAGGGCGAATGCCTCATCCTGGCCACGTGGGCGAGAGAGAGAGGGCGGGGGTCGCAGTGAGACAGACCTTAAAACTCTCCACAAACGGACAGCAAACCATGCCGTCTTCCCCCTTCCTGCCCCCCCAGCCACAGGAGGCCAGAAGAACCGTCTTACCTTCCAGGACATGAAGCTCACTGGATCCACAACTGTCGGCTGAATGATCTCCCGGCCGGGGAAGATCCCCCATGTCACGGCGTTGGGCTGCATGCCATGAGCGTTGGTGATGTTTTCCCCCTGCCGATGGGGGACGAGATGAGCGTTACAAAAGAGAGCAGAGAGAAAGGGGTGTGCGATCAGGAAGATGCCGCACCGTCGGGGAGTTTATTCCCGGCGCGCTCTGCCAGTCCCAACGGGTTGGCGTCTCTCTTGGGCTACAGGTCCCATCAGCCCCCTGCTCGGCTGCCCCGTCGGTCTCTCCCCACCCTGTTTGCTAAGGAGGATTTTTTGTACCTTGACATTGACGATGTGGTAGTTCACCCGCTGGCCGTATCTCTTGAGAACGGTCTGGAGGGCCCGGACGGTCTCGCTGGAGGTGAAGAATTCCAGGTAAGCCTATAAGGAGGGCAGAAAGAGCTGGTAGGCCAGAAAAAAAACTGGGTTCAAGCCATGCCTACCTGTTCAGAAATAGAAATCCTGCCCTCCCCTCACATCAAGCAGAGCCTGCTACCCGCACACAAGTTTCTGATCCCGAAAAAAACTTGTCATACTGTTTTTAATCATCATCATCATCTGAGAATAGCAGAACTGGAAGGAACCCCAGGGATTATTGAGTCCAGTCCAGTTAGACTGGATGCTTTTCAAATCTAGGAGCTATTTAAGGAGCAGTTTTCTCAGTTTCACTTTTCGCCGGGAGTTTCTGTGGCCGAGTGGGAATTCGAATCCAAGCCTCCAGATCCTCATCTGTCACTCCCTCTGCTGCACCCCACCGGGTATCCACAATGCCGGACGGCAATTCCCAAAATCTTCTACCCAGTGGGGAGGGGGGTGTCATCCTGGCTGCAAGGGTCTGGTACGGAGGCCCGAAAAGGATTCCGTCCCCGGCAAGGCTAATTCCAAGACAGCTTTGATCTTCTGTGGCAGGAGAACTTGGAAGGGTGAAGTTTTAAAGTGCAACACAACTTCACACACCATCTGCTGCTAAAAAGTCTGGGGCAAAGCACACACTGGTTCCCCCCTCTTTGGGCTGAAAATCGGGGCAGGCTGACAGACAATCAGCTCAAAAAGGAGGGCAGACACGAGAGAAAATCCATGGAGAACTTTTAACTCCATGCATGCGGTCTCCTTATGGCAAACGACCTTGTACGCAACAAGGGAGGGGGGCAAAAGCAAGGCGTTTTTGCAAATTGAGGCTTGTTCGGGGCTGCTGTCCTCTCCGATGGGGGTGGGACAGCTCTCCCTGCGGGGAGGAGGGCTTCCTTTAATGGGGTTCCCAGGCCTGACATGAGGATCATCATAAAGACTTTGAAATTCACTGCCTGCCTTCTTTTGTTCAGGGCAACACACGCCCTGCGAAAGCCATTTAATCCTGCTTTGTAGCTGGCTGGTTTTAAGGATCAAGAATTCCNTGGGGGCCCCGATGGAGGGGGGGTAGGATGGCTCTCCCTACAGGGGGGGGCTTCCTTTAATGGGGTTCCCAGCAGTGACACGAGGATCATCACGGAAGCTTTGAAATTCACAGCCTGCCTTCTTTTGTTTCGGGCACACACGCCCTACGAAAGCCACTTAATCCTGCTTTGTAGCCGGCTGGTTTTAAAGATCAAGAGCTCCTCGTTCTCGACACTGTCCCCCCCCCCATGGTGCGCGTGCACACATGCTCATTTCCAAAGGGATGGTCTTCAGCCCCCGCCGCCCCCTCCACACAACCTGAGCTCTTTGATCAGACTAGATCCCGCTGATTCGCTTTGCGGCCTTTCACCCACCCGGGTCTGCATTAGAGGAGCGTGTCACAACCCCCAGGCAGACAAAGGCGGAGAGGGATGCTCTAAGCCGGTGCTTCCCAACTGTGGTTCCCCGGATGTTCTTGGACTATGACTCCCAGGCGCCTCCGCCACCTGCTGTGTGCTGGCCAGAATTTCTGGTCTCCCAGGAACACTTAGGGACCCCCAGCTTGGGAAGCACTGCTCTTAAGGGCAAAGCCTGCCGGCCCAGGAGAGCTTCTCCATTCACCTCTCTCCAGCTTCTTCCAAGGTTTCTCAGGGTGGAAAAATGAGACTCGAAAGATGTGGCAGAAAAGCCGACACCCGTAGGGCGAGTGTAGGGACAGAAAGTGGAGGGAGCACGCCGGCATTACCTTCTGGAAGACGTAGCCACCTTCGGGGCCCCAGCCCACGATGGGGTCGGTGGAGTGTTTGCCGTTGACGTTGGGTTGGGAGTTGATGGTCAAGATCCCCCGCAGGTTGACCTTGGCCAGTTCCTCCTTCATGAGGTTGGTCTCTGGGGCCAGGGGGTCGTCGTTCCAAGGCAGGCAGGTCACCTGACGGGAGGAGACGGAAAGCGAGTTGGTACAAGATGACAAGCCACAGTTTGCGCAATCTAGGGTTTGTTGCTTAAGCCAGGAATGGGACAGAAGATAACGAAAGAAACCGTGACTTCTCCATTTCCGGTTCTGTTACTCTTCGCCCTCTTGTTTGTTTCCTCTGGTAGCAGAAACAAGCCGTAGTGGCAAGTCCAGGCGTCGCAACATTCTCTGGCTCAAACAAGCCAAAGTTTATAAAGCTAACATCAAACCATGATTGTTGGCTAGTAAACCATGGTTTGTTAGCAAGGGTGGGATCTCCCATTGCAGCCAACCAGGTCTCAACAAACCACATTCTGGCTTGTTTGTGACCCCCAGGACACAGCCTCACAGAACCCACCCTACCATTTGACACCCGAACCTGGCATTCACATGGCAGGCCTTTCCTCTTCTACCAAGATTCTCACCTTGTGCCCGTCCTTGTTGGGCTCACCGGCAATGTAGCACCGGAACACCTCGAAGACGCTCTCCTCGTTGGTCAGCTCATGGCCCCACATCTTCAAGAGCTCATCCCGGGGGGATTTGCTCTTTAAGTAGAAGAGGTAGTAATCCTTCAGCTCCCCAAAGGCCGGAGAAGATGAGTTACCCCTGGAGGATTTAAAGAAAAGGTCAGCAAAAAGAAGAGGGATGACCCAGAAATCTAGGCAAAGAAGACATCACAAGAGAAATACCAACAGGAATGTACATCGTGGACGTTTTGAGGACCTAGATGTGGAGGGGTCTGGGTTCAAATCACCACTGAGCCATGTGACTTAGTGGGTAAACCCTAGGCCAGTCCATTGTGAGATATAAAGGTAGCTCGTTTATTGGCTTATTCTAAACACCCCGCTGATGCGGTGTTGCTTTAACTGATTTTCAGCCTGCTTTCCTAAATTATTTCGAAAGCCAAAACGACACGGAAAGCCGATAAGATTTTTCAGAAATTAAATCAATTGGAACAGAATCGGGATGGCTGACCCCACAAACGTGATCCAAAAAGGCTTATTTCTTCTGCCCTTCTCTGACACGGTTTTCTGACCCTCACACCTGCCCGACCCCCCTTGGCCAGTCCGACTCGCCCGATCCTTCCGTTGCTGTCGTCGCTGGACCCTTACCAGCGCCCGTTGGGAAATTCGTCCCATTCTTGGGTTCGGTAGATGTAACTCTTCGGCCGGGAGGCCCAGAAAATGGGCCGGACGTCCTCGACGCGCCGTTTCGGGTGAGCGCTGACCGCCCAAGGCAAAGGACGCCTTTTTTGGGGGGGAGGAAGAGAGGAAGAGACAGAACATTTTTAACATTGTGTTCCTTTATCTGTTTAATCCACCTCTTTTGGGGTTCCATCAGTTTCCCCTTGACTGGCTTCCTACGTTGCGCTAGAGGACCGTTTATGGTTTAGACCAGTGATTCCCCACCTGGGGTGCCCAGAGGTTCTTGAATAACAATTCCCAGAAATCCTGGTCAGCACAGCTTGGGGGTGAAGGCTTCTGGGAGTTTGAGTCCAAGAACCTCTGGGTTGCTCCGGGTTGGGAACGGCTGGTTTAGACCGACCTGCCACGGCCCATGTCTGAAGCTCTGAAGTTATTTCTGCTTAACTTTTGCCACCAGACTCCGTTCACCTAGTCCTCATCGTCACAGAACGGCAGAGATGGGAAGGGACCCCCAGAGATCCTCCAGTCCAGCCCCCATCAAGGAAGCCCAGCAGAGGAATCGAACTTCCAACCCCTGGCTCTGCCACCAAAGACCTCAATCGTGGAGCAATCCAGCCGTTCATAGGGAGGGGCGGCGCCTCGTCTCCCATAAAACCTGAAATGGGTCCCCAAGTGCAGAAGGAAGAGAGAGCGGGAAAGAGAGAGAAACGGGACCCATCCAGAAGATTCGACCGAGGGCTGAAGGGAGGCCCTCCTCCTCCTCCTCCTCCTCTGGGGCTCACCTGGGGTCCTCTTTCCAGAGTCCCAGGCGCTTGAGCACCTCCACGGTGGCCACTTCCCGGTTCAGGGTGTAGAAATGGAGGCCATGGACCAGGCCGCTGTCCAGCAGCTCCCGGCACATGGTGACCGCCAGCTCGATGCCATAATTCCGGATGGCCGCGTCGTTGTCCTTGATGGGCTCAATGACGTCCTTGATCTCCTGAGGCACCTCCAGCTTGGAGAGTTTCACCAGCTGCCGGAGGGAATGGTACCCCTAGGGCGAGAAGAAAGAACCAGGTTCTGGTGGTGACCCTCCAAAAAAACATTGGAAAATTTTATTTTAGCATTCTGGACAAGGCTCACAAGCTGTCTTAAGCACTCCCCGTCAGCAACAGCAGGAAAAGAGCGATGTTTTTAAAAAATACTTTTTTGAACACAGTGGCCCATTAAAAATAACCCCCATGCTTTTGCAAATCTTCCTTGCCTGGTTGCCGGTATGCCCTCTAGACTCGCCATAGGCGAGCAGTTTTGAAAGGGAGGTCCGTCACTTGCCGAGACTCAAACGGGACAGGATGGTGAGCAGGAGGGCTGCTCCAGAGGGCGCTGGACGCATCTCCTTTGGGATCAAGAGAGAAATGCTCCTGTGCCTCCCCCCCCCCAGCCGAGGCCTCACCTGGATGGGAAATATCCCTGGCACGACTGGGCAGGTGATGCCGACAGCCTGGCAGTCCCGCAAAAATTGGAGGAACGTCTCCGATCGGAAGAACAGCTGCGTGATGACAAAGTCGGCTCCTGCAGAGACCTTTTCCTTCAAGTGCCGCAGGTCATCCGCGTAGCTCTCTGCCTCGGGGTGGCCCTTCGGGTAGCCTGCAGGGAGGGAACGAGCTTTACGCGCTTTACTCACGAAGGCGCGCTCCCCCATCTCCTGAACTCTCCCCTCGTGGACGGAAAAGACATCTGTTGGCTTCATCCGTTTCCATTCAGGTGGGCGTCAAGGTCAAATCCAGGACCCCAGCAGCTGTTTGCCCCTGTCTTTAAAAACTTAAAAGCCCCCACCCAGGTTCTCTCTGGATCTCACGGGCAGCCTGCAGACTTCCGGCAGCCACCCACCCCTGAATCGTGGCCCTTTTTTTCCTCACCCGCCACGCAGATGTCAAAGTAATCCTCAAACTCCCGACGGATGTGCTTCACCAAGTCCACGGCGTGGTTGAAGCCGCCCACTTCCTCCTGCCACTCTTCCCCCACGGGGTCTGTGCAGGGATTAATAATCACGGTTTTAATTAAACCAGTCCTCTACAGGGGCGGGTTGATGGCGGACATCCTCTCCCCCCCTTGCCATTATCTTTGCTCAGCGAACAGACCTCATAAAAGGTGATCATCCCCATCAAACCGACCAATCCACCCACATTGGTCTTATCCACAGAGGATGCCATTGAATCCCGGGATCACGGATGGATAAAACTCTCCTGAGATGGACTCCGGAGTCTCCAGCTGCAAACTAGGTGGGACTCCGAAAATCCCGAGCCATTACGGACAGGCGAAAGGACAGCTCACCTCCCCGCAGCGCCATGATGTTCTTCAGCCCCAAGCGCTTGGCTTTCTGCAGGTGGGCCGTGATGGTCTCCCGAGTCTGGTTACAGCAGGTCATATGGAGGACGGTCTCCAAGCCGCAGTAGTTGAGCGCCGTGCTGGCGATGGTCAAGGACGAGGTCTCCTTATTGGAGCCTGGGTCTCCGGCGGGGTGCCAGGTGACGTCGATGAAAAGGGGTCCACCCACCCCCATGCGGTCGAACCTGCAGGGTTGGGAGCCCCGGAAGGCGAGGAAGAGAAATCAGCAAGGTCGGGCGGGAGGCTCAAAAGGGGCAAGATAGAGCCAAAGGCAAAGTTAATGAGGAAGGAAAAATAAGAATGACGGAGAGTGGTACAGGATATACCATATTTTTCCGTGTATAAGACGCCCCCACTTTTCTAATCCAAAATTAAGAAATCTAAGTGGGGCTTAGCAAGTGTAGGGGGAAAGGGATCAAAGTGCTGCAGGATCGCTTTGATCCCTGCTTTCCCCTCCCCTTGTTTTTGTTCTCTCCTCAGCTTACTTCCATGTATAAGACCACCCTCAATTTTTAGTCTAAAGATTTTAGACAAAAGTATAGTCTTATACATGGAAAATACAGTAAACCATGGCAAGAGGATCGGCTCACCCAAGAGAGCCACTACCTTCCCTTTAAAAACCTGGGACATGAAAGGAACACCCTCCCCGGGGGGGGAGCTCCTCCTTCCGCCACCCGTCACCTGGAGATGAGGTTGACGGCCCCGTTGGCCGTCCGCGGGGGGAAGAACTCCAAGGAGAACCACTTGTCGCCCGCCTCCTGCCGGCGCCGCATCTTCTCCCACAGGCGGTCCTGCCGCTCGGCGTCGAGGAGGCTTGGGGTGGAGCACCGGGAACTGTCCTTTGAGCTCTCGCCCCCGCTGCTGCTGCTGCCGCCGCCCCCCACGCCGAGGCCATCCGGCCGGGCACTGGCGAGGCCCTCGCTGACTGCCGCAAGGGGGGCCCCATAGGACTCGTTGACCATAGTGAGCGACCTGGAAGAAAGACGAGGAAGGACACTGAGCAGGGAGGCTGAGCTTCTTACAAAGCAGGGAGCCCAGCACCCTGATTTTTGGCTTACTGCGGAAATATCAAACAGTTATTTGCTATCAAACAATGATTTTCACAACCAATTTTTGCCTTTGTTTTTAATGGAGGCAGTAGATTAGAAAATCCTTCCTTCCCCCTCTCTCTTTTCCTGCCTTCCTTCCTTCTGCCTTTCTCTTCCTTCCTTCCTTGCTTCCCCTTTTCTCTCTTTTCCTGCCTTCCTTACTTCCCCCTCTCTTTTTCCCCTCCTTGCTTCCTCCCTCCCTCCCTTCCCTTTTGCAAAGAAAGGAAAGTATATTCAACCAAGCTCCTTGCAGCGAAAGACCAGACGACAATCACTGGTCCAGCTGCTCCTCCCTTCCTTCCTTCCTCCCTCCCTTCCTTTTTGCAAAGAAAGTATATTCAACCAAGCTCCTTGCAGGGAAAGACCAAACGACAATCACTGGTCCAGCTGCTCCTCTTTCTTCGACTTTCCTGACGCTGCGATCCTTTTTTCTCCCAGACCCAGCCTGGTGTTTCTCTCCTGTCCACAGACAACCACGAGCATATTTACTCCCACTGTCCACGTGGGCAGCCGATGAGACCCAGGCAGGCTGGCTGGCTGACCTCTCGGGGCTTGTCCACTTTGCAGAGTTTTCTCCCTGTCCCTTTCCAAAATGGGCCCCAGCCAGCTGCCTCCGTCTCCAGGGAACAAGGGACGTGGAAACTGGCAAGGCTTCTAAGCTCCCCTTGGGCTCATGCCAGGTCGCAATGCCAAGCCTTTGAGGTGTGAGCCAAACCGGAGTCTGCCATCTCCGGTGGTCCTGACCACCCCTTCCAAATCCCAAGCAGGAACCGCGTCGCCCGTGCTGCCAATGGGCAAAAGGCCTGCCTGGTCACCCCAACCGGGACATATCGGTTCAAGAGGCGCAACAAAATTATCCAGTCGCCAAAGGAGTGTGTTTCCATTGAGATTTAATTGTGGTAAAAGTCATAGTCAGAGAGAGAGAGAGAGAAATGTTTCTGGGCTTCAATTAATCTGCAATAGCAAGAACACAGGCAGAACCATAGAACTGTAGATTTGGAGAGGGGTACCCCAAGGTCATCCAGACTTGCCCCATCAATGAAGAAAATCCACAGCTTAAAGCATCCCATATCCTCTAACTTCTAAGGACCTCCAACAAAGGATGGGTCCTTTCAAGCAGTTCTGTTCCACCACTTTGATGGTCAAGACGTTCTTCACGTTTAGTCAAAACTTCCCTTCTCATAACTCAAATCCGTTACTTGGGGTCTCAGCCTCCAGAACACAACCTTGCTCTGCCATCCAAGTCCCCCACCTTTTAAATATTCGACAGGAGGAGATCTGTGGCAGCTTAAAGGCTGTCCATTTTTCTGGAATAGAAGGTTTGATGGCCCTCAAGATGGACCCTCTCCAGAATCAGACAAAAGGCTTAAAGAGCCCTGCGCTCCTCCCAGCCGCCGGGTCACACCAGAGACTGCCTCTGAAATGACCAGACTCTGCAGCCACCAGGATTATGAACCCTTTGGGAACGTGATCCTGGAGGAATTTTCCTAATCCTCTTCTAAAGCTCTCGGCATTGTTCTCAAATAAAAACAAACCCATGGCTAAGGGCTTTTCTAGACCTTAAGAGGTGGGGGGGCCACGGGGTTATAATAAAGCAGACCCTTTGCACCCCGAAGCACCTAGGTCGGATCAGGTCAACCCCCCCCATCCAAAATGCTGGGGAACCACCGGTCATCCTATTGAGACCTCTCCGAAGGTTCATGAGAACAGAACAGGAAGAAAGAAAAAAAATGAGATATTTCTACCTAGCGGAATCATTTCCACCTCCGAAGTCCGCTTAGGGTTCCATTCAGGCGGATGGGAGGGGAAGCCGGACCAATCCTGCGGCGTCTCCAGACCCCACCAGAAAACCCCCAAGGGGATCATCCTTACAACTGGCCCTTGCTGCAGGTTTATTTCATATACCCAGAGCTCGTCTCCTTATGGCTCCTGAATGAGTACTATTTCCGCTTCGGGGCAGGGCCCATGGCAAGAGAGCAGGCGATTGTTTCTGGACTACAAGACCCCAAATCCCCCAGCTAGAACAGCTCAAGGGCCACACACCTGGCTGTCCCCTCTTTTTTAAAAGAAAAAAAACAAACAAAACAGAGAAGTTTGTCCAAGACGCAGGCTTGGATGCCCTCCAGCTGGCAGGAAGGCTGGAAAATAGTCCTACTCGGGCTTGATCCTGCACCCAAGAGGGCTGCTCCGAGGAGATCTTCAGATGCCCCAGGAGCAGAAATCTGGTCCGGAGACCATCGGATGCTCCAAGGCGATCCTCAATCTGGTGGCGGGCATCCTGAAAATGCAAAAACATGCAAAAAAACAACCCCTCCCACCTCCCTTTGCTTTAAATTGGGGGGCGGGGAGCTGGCCCAGTTATAGGGAGGATAATTATGGGAACGGTCATATTTATGCATTGCAAAGGGCAGGGCCTCCCCCACTGGCCTACCTAGCAGGGGTCTAGGGAGGATTGGATTACAAAGAAGGACCGGACATGTTCCCCAGCTTCTAGGGAGAAAGAAAGAGGATTTTTTAAAAAAAGGAATAAATAAAGGGAGGAAAGAGGAACAGGGAAGGAAAACGATGCCAGCCACTTCATTATGGTTTTTACTTAAGCAGCGGATAAAAAAAGGAGGGGGAAGGTGTATTTGCAAAGAATTTTTTAAAATTTATCTAATGCAAAATAATAATTTTAATTTTATCTCTCTCTTTGATTTGCGTTATGCCTTATGAGGGGCTATTTAATGAGAGAGGAAAAAACTCCATGTATGATTTTAATTCGTTTTGATCAGCAAGGATATTACTATACATGTTTCTTATACATATTTTTATCCACAGGCATATTTTACATTCTGTGTGTACTGCTATTCGAAAGAAGTTATTTTTGATTCTCACGCCCCCATTTTCCCCCCAAATGGTTTCTCCCCCTCCCGTTAATCTCCCCTTGTAAGAAAAAGGGGGGTTCGTGTCCCCCCCTTCGTCGTTTGGACCCTGCTACGCGCACGCGCACTCCACTCACCTGTTCGTTCAGGCCCGTCCAAAAGGCGAGAGGGGACTCTTTTTCCCCTCCTTTCTCCCCCTTTTTAGCGGCGGCGGCGGCAGCGCACGTGGAAGGACACAAGGTACGGCACGGCCACACGGTAGCACGTAAACCTTCCGATCCCTCCGCCCACCTACTTGGCTCCGCCTCCTCCCTTTTTCCCCCGCTTAAGGAAACAAACTCGACGCCCTCTCGTCGCCACGCCTCTTTCCGCAAGCCCCGCCCCCAGCATTTCTTCCCTTAAATTGACCGCTTCCAAAATGGCGGCCGCCCTGAATGAGCGCTCCTTTTTCCCTCAGCAAAAATGGGCGACCCCGCTCTTCCTGTTCGGGTCGCGTCGTTGCCTAGATACCAACAAGGCTTTTGATTTCTTCCTCTTTGTTTTTCGCAGAAATTGCAAAAAACGACATTCATGTGCAAAAAAAATACTATTTATTAAAAATGTTTATCACCTTTAAAACTAAACAGATGGCATTTTAGCATGAGAATTTGTGGATTATAATCCACTTTTTCAGATGGTGTGGAATGTAGCGTTGAAGCCAGTGGTTGGCATGCAATAGTCATGGAAAGTAGTCCACAAAAGGCGAAGCTGAAATAGATCTGTTAGCTCCTAAAGGCCACAAATTTCCTTTTCCCCCCGTCTTTTGCTGCTCAAGATCTGATTGCAAAACCTGATCAATGTGTACCGGTCATCCCACCAGCAGCGTTTGTAATTTTCTGGCTGTCTCACGCACCCCTTGGGGTGCAACGGGGTTATTGCTTGGGCAAGACTGACCTTGTAACAGATAGGAGGCATGAATCCCAATGGGGTTCTGACTCTTTATGTTGAAACAATAAAATCGCTTCCTCTTTCCAAATGCCTGGGTCAAAAACTGGTGTTTCCCAAGCCATCTCTAATAGGGGAGCAGCCAAATAGATTTTGGGCAAACTTATTTTGCAACCGGCACTCCATGTGTTGAAATAGTCGGGCCGTCAAAACAGACCCTGTGAGGCAGGAGATAATGTGCCGCCTTGCTCACCTGAAGCCATAGAGGTCAACCACCTCCACTCAAAACATTTCCCAAACCCGTTCAATCCGCTGTTTGTGTTTTCAAGCCGGTTGTGGAATACGCCGGGGAAGGTATGTGCGCCACAGGGTCGCAGGAAGCTTCCTGCATATAACCCATTGCAGAGAAATCACCTTTCTTTCCCAGTGCATAGGAAAAAAATGCATTTTCTGGGGAGGAAAACAATAATAAAAGTCCTGCCAGATGAGACCGGAATAAAAGGACCTTATTCATCTTTTTAAAGGTATCGCCAGACATCCTTCCAAGTTTTAAAAGGCCAAGTCAACCGGACAAAGCATCTGAAGGGCCACATGTGGCTCATCCTTGGTGCAGACATGGTGCTGGCCTACTTCACAGGGTTTTTATCAGGATAATGGGTAAACTGTGTGAGCCTGTCGGACAGAAAGAAGAACAGAAAATGTAACCAATAATTAAAAAATTACTGATCAGACAAAAACAATCTAGAACAATGCAGGCTGGTGTTGTCTTGCAACCCTTGAGATGCTGCTGATTTGAGACCCCAGGTAAGCGAGATTATCTCACATCCTTTCCTGGGGCAACGCCATCTGAGGGTGCTAAAATTAGCTGCATTAAAATGTCTGCTGCCTGACCCTGGTACAAAACAAACAGCTTCTGTATTTGTTCAAACTGGAGGTCAGCCCAAACCAGTTAAACTGCAAACCGGTGAAGTATTTATTAACGGCGAGGCATCGCGCCAATGATTGATCGAAGCGGCCAAGCTGTACTACTGGTGCCGTGCACCTTCTGGTGCGTACGTGATCTCAAAACAAAACAGAAAAACCCATCACACCAGCTTGAAAACATCTGCCCATTTCCCAATGATTTCCCACGTGGAAGAAGGCGAAAAGCGGCGGTGAGCATCTGATGCGTTCTGAAATTTAACAAAAACTAGGAAGTAACTACTGTAGTTACAAGTTATCCAGACATTCTATCCAATAGTATTCAGTTTATTTATCAATGTGTTTTCTTCCTGCTATCTGAACAATGCAAGGCTTGTCTGGCTTATGACCCTGACTTTTTGAGTGACTGTCCATGACATCCCCCCCCCCCAGAACAAGTTTTAAGCCGGAAACTTTAGCCCTTCATCAGAGGGATGTTTCTGCTTATGGCCAAGCTTCGCGCTCGGAAGCTTTAAGTGAGCAATGCAAAAATACTAATACAGTATTTTTAGTAGAGGAACTCCAGCAGGGGTGTGGCTTTCTTTAATTTTTTTTTTAAAAAGATTTTTTTGTAAATCCTTTCCTGGATGGAAATCCTGAAAACCTACATGCTTCTCCGGCACCGAGGGGAAAGGGTGTGTGGAACAAGTGATTCACCCACAAGAGCCATAACTTGCAATTAAAATAACGTCCCAAACTCTTTGAGTTTTCCCGCCCTCGACTTCCACCACTACCCCACACTGCCTCTCTATCTCCAGCTACTCGATGCAGAAGGTAAAGGACATACGATGATTGCACCCGCTGCATTTTCCCCCGAGGCACACTTTCCTGAACCCGCTGCCCGCTTTTCTCGAGAGGCTGGACTACAACCCCCATCATCCACCCTTGGGCTGGGTGACGGTGAGCAAGCCTTATCAGGAGAAAGCCGCGGGTTCGGAAGCGAGCAGCTGACCCACGAGAGACACGCTTCTATTATTTTTCTTATCTCTGCCGTCCAGCCTCACGTGATCCGTGCCTCCCCCTTTTGGAGCCGCTCTGGGCCAGCCACAGAGTCGCGGCGGGCTGGCGCGGTGCGCATGCGCGAGCATCCCCTTTTTCTGCCCAGCCTGGCCGGCTTTGGGGTGCTCCTGATTTAGGGTGCAGCCTTTGGGGAGGGCGATGTCGGCGGGGCTCTGTGGGGCCGGGTGCTGCTGTTGCTGCTGCTGCGGGGAGAGGGAGAGCCGCACCCCCGAGGAACTGGCAAGTATAATATTAACCTCGCACCGTTTAATGGCTCTTCTCCCCCCTGCCACCCAAAATATGCATTTTATTGCTGCTGCTTTTATTTCCTTAGAATCATCGCTCTGAGCTTCCTTCGTGATGCAATAAAACAACCACGTTGCATTGCTTTATGCAACAGGACGGCACTGCATCAGCAAGATGGGACATGTTTTAGCATTTTTTGTTCAATTTTGTGTTGTTTGCAAAAAAAAGCAGGGCTCTGGGTGCAGAAATGGTTCTGAGGAAGGCAAAAAAAAAAAAGCAGCTGGGCTTTGTTAACATGTTACACTGTGGGTGTGTCCCCAGCACTCTGAATCCTCACCAAAACCTTGATTTTTTTTATTTTATTTTATTTTATTTACCTTCTCTTGTGTTCTTCCAAACCCACCCTTCCTTTTCTCCACAGCTTTCCCCTTGCACATTTATTTATTTACAATATTTTAACCCTGCCTTTCTCCTTTGAAAAGGACCCAAGACAGCTTATATCATGGAAAGGCCATCTCTCCTTTGAAAAGGACCCAAGACAGCTTACATCATGGAAAGGCCATACTGTATTTAAAGCTGAAAACAAGGAGTGTACAAGGCGCTTTTATTTTTCTCCATGTCTTCGGGCCTGGGTTGAAAGCCAAATTAATGAAAGAGAACACAAAACTTTTTTTTAAAATTAAAAACAAAAACAAGGTAATAAGTTAAGAAGAGAGTGGTTTTATAAAAACTTCTCAGACCTCTAGAGCAGATGTGGGTGGGCATTGCAACCCTCCAGATAATAGCTGGATGGCAACTCCCACCGGTCTTATCCAGAGCAGCCAAAAGTTGGGGGGTGATGGGGTTTGTAGTCCTTCACCCTCCGGTGGACACACATTGCCTCTTCTTGACATAAGACCAGCTGGACGTGATAGTGGCAGATCAGAAAGACCAATATTTCAATTTCCAGGGTAAATTGGAATATTATTATATATTTGAATAGTAAAGCAATATATATTGGGATAGTAAAGCAAGCTCTGTGTTTGTAGATCTGGACACCATGGAAATGGGGGGCAAAGTTTATTATCGTGCCCCGCTCAAGGACGCCTGGGTCTGACCTGTTTGTCTTGGCAGGCTGTCGCGTTTCAGAAAAACACCCAGTTCCTGATGACTTCCCTTTTACAAAACTCTTCTGCAAGCTGTTTCTGACCCCTCTCTTCAGTTCCAGGGGTTAAACCAGCGAGCGAAGGAAGCGTGGCCCTCCCGATGGTGGCGGACTGCAACTCCCATCCTCCCTCCCCATCCGCTTTGCAGGCTGGGGCAGATGGGGGTGGCAGGCCCCATAACATCTCAAAAGTAGCTCATCGTCTGCATCCCTTGGATGAAGGAGCCCTTTTCAAGCTCCCTCCCTCCTGGTCTTCGGAAGCCCGTTGGTGGTTCGTTAACCAAACGATCACTAAGGGAGGAGGGTGTTCCCAGAAGGAGAGCCGACCCCCCCCCCATTGCTGCTCATCCCTCATTACGGGCAGCTCCCAGAGGTGAAAGGATCCTCTTTAATACATGGAGGGTGGGATTGAGATCCTTAAAGGCTTGAATTCATCCTCATCCTCATAGAATGGCAGAGCTGGAAGGGACCGCAAAGATCATCCAGTCCAGCCCCTGTCTAGGAGGTCCAGTGGGGGATTCGAACTCCCAACCTCTCGCTCTGCAGTTCTTGAAGTCTGGTGATGAACAGGCCAGTCTCATAGGAACATAAACAGAGGTGTGTTTTGTTTTGTTTTGTTCTTTGTTTTGCCTCTGTTGAATCTAGAGCTTTGTCTTCTTGAAGTCTGGTGATGAACAGGCCAGTGTCATAGGAACATAAACAGGTGTTTTTTTTGTTTTGTTTTTTGTTTTGCCTCAGAACTGTTGAATCTAGAGCTCTGTTATCCACAGCGTCTGGAATCAGAGTTTTCTGAGAAGCCGCTCATGAACGCAGCAGAGAGGAAGCCTGGTGTAAGGGTTGGAGCCCTGGGCAGAGGCTAGAGAGGTCTTGGTCCCCATGCCATTCATTGGGCGACCTCTTAGCTCAGGTCTACTTCGCAGGGCGGTTGTGACAATAAGAGGAGGAGGAGAAAGCTTGCTCTCTCCAGCTATTTGACAACATGGGTCCGTTCCCACCTGCCTGACGTTTTCCTGAACCCTTTGGCTTCCTTTCCAGACCATCCTTGGAGAAACGGAGGATGAGGAAGATGAGATTCTGCCCCGGAAGGACTACGAGGTGAGCGACAGCCCCAGTAACCAGTGGGGAAGGATATATGGAATCACTGGTGGGATGACTGCTAGGAGTCAATGGCACAATCCTTTCTGGATTTGACTGGCTCCCTTTAAACCCATCCACGTGGGCTATGTCTTGTGGCAGGGAGTTCCACAGTTCTACATCCTATGAGAAGAAGTCTTTTTTGGTTTGTCTTCCAAGTCCCACCTTCCAGTTCAACTGGTTGATCCCTTCCTAGCTGTAGTAGGATGATGGGTGGGGTGGGGTGGAGACCCATCTTTTTTTTCCTTTCTCCATATAAACCTTAAATTGTATAAGGCTGCTCAAAAGACTCCGCTGAGGCTCAGTAGCTGGAGAACCCCAGGTTTCCGGCTTTAACTCATTTCAGATGAGCCCCTTCTCTTTGAAAATCCAAAGAGATGCACGTGGTGGCCTTGCCCTCTTGTTTCTGGATTCCCCTCCTTATATTTTCCTTTTTTCTGTCCTCCCAGAGCTTGGACTACGACCGATGCATCAACGAACCCTATCTGGAAGTCCTGGAAAGTCTTGACAGCAAGGTAGGATGATGTAGGAGATGATGGGAGCAAACCCATGGCCACTGTTTTCACCTTGAAAAGCTGGATCATAGCTTTGTGGGGAGGTCTCTGGAAATGTCAATAAACAACAACAACAACAATAATATCTTAGAGCTGTCAAGATGGAAGGAACTCTAGAGATCATCCCGTCTAGCCCCTGTCCAGTGGCCCAGTGGGGATTCGAACTCTCCACTTCTGGTTTTGCAGCTCGATGCTTAAACCACTGAGCTCTTCAGCGGTGGGTCTAGGCTCCTTCAGCCCAGTCTTTTGCCAGAAAATAATCCATTCATTAGTTAGTCAAATATGGAGTTAGGAAACTGGTTTTGGGGATGCAATGAGGTCTAGAGACTTGAGTTTTGCCTGGAGAAGATGGATAAAAACACCAAGAAGTTCCCAGGTTATGTTGTGTCTGTTTATGGATGCCAAGAATCAGTTGCAGGTGGCTGAAGGATTCTGGGAATTGAAGTCTAAAGCTCTTAACTTTTCTAGACTCTGCTCATTCCGAGTCATAGGTATCCGTTTCTCTCCCTCCGCTGCAGAAAAGCCAGAGGTATGAAGCCGTGAAGTGGATGATGGTCTTTGCCATTGGTGTCAGTACAGGGATGGTAAGATACGGTTTATTTCTCTCTGGTTTTTTTCTTCATGGAAAACAGATCCATGCATGTTTTACGGGCTTACTCGGGGCAAGCCCAGTGAGGGGGAGATGAGAATTTTTGGAAGCAGGATAAGTTCGATTCCTCCTTCACTTCCTTCCTTCCCAGGTGGGTCTGTTTGTGGATTTTTTCGTACGCCTTTTCTCCAGACTCAAGTTCCGCATCGTACAGAACTGTATCCTTTTTTCCCCCCTGTGTGTTTTATTACCCCAGTGGACCGGCTTCATGGGACGAATGGGTCGCGAGAGCTTGAGAAAACATGTGGGGTGTGTAAGAAGCCTTTCTGGTTTTCTTCATTTATGGGAAGGGATTACATATTACTACTCAGCCAAAGTCTGTGGGCTAGATACCTCAGGGACTTAGGGATCAGTCTGCAGAACCAGAGGTGGGGAGTTCGATTCCCCCCACTGGGCCTCCTAGGGTTAAAAAGCCAGCCTGGGTGGTCCTGGGCAAACTGTTCAGTCCTACGAGACACCTAAGCCAGCCTGGATGGCCTTGGGCAAACTGTACGTTCCCAGGAGACACCCGCAGAACCTATATGTTGGAATTGATTTGATGGTGCGCAATTATTATTGTCTCCGCCTAAAGAATTCTTAGATTTGAGGTGCGATCACTTAGACATTAATATACAATCAGCTAGACGCTGCACGAAAGGAAGACGAGAGGAGGAGGGAAGAGGAAAAAAAAAGGCACGGATCTTTTAGCATGGCTGGTGGAAAGACCAAGCTTCCCTTCTCAGCTTCTGAGGTGAGGTAAGACAGAGGGACCTTCTGAGTCCAGCAATATCGTCGGGGTGGCTTTACCCATTTCCTTGACTTTGGTTCCCTACAGCCGTGGAAGAGTGCAGCGAGAAAGGCTGCCTGGCAGTCTCTCTGCTGGAGCTGATGGGCTTCAACCTGACTTTTGTCTTCCTGGCCAGCCTTCTGGTCTTGATCCAGGTAAAATCCACCTATTCCTGGTCAGGATGTGGTCGCCTGCCGCCCGCTTCTGCTCGCCCTAGGAGCATCGTCCGCCATTCCCAGGGAGAGCAGTCGGAGGGGATGGGGGGCGCCGGCTGGGCCACCTCGCCCACCCAAGTCTGCTTGGCTGCCAGACCTTTTTGCCACCCCCCCTTCTCCCCACCTCTGCCACCTGAAGCCACTTCCTCCCACCACCCAACGGCAGGACGGGGGCCTGATGTTTGATTGTGCTCTCTTTCCAGCCTGTGGCTGCCGGTTCTGGAATCCCGGAGATTAAATGCTACTTGAACGGAGTGAAAGTTCCCGGGATCGTTCGGCTCCGGACTCTGGTATGCAAAGCCCTCGGGGTCCTCTTCAGCGTAGCCGGAGGTGAGGAGTTCCTCTGTGTTTTTTTATCCCGGTGTTTCTGATCCACTGGGCTCCTCAATCTGGGTTGTGACCCAGGATCTCACACTGTGTGTGTTTTTGCAGGTCTTTTTGTTGGGAAAGAGGGTCCCATGATCCACAGCGGGGCCGTGGTTGGAGCTGGTCTACCTCAGGTAAGCAAGACAGTCCCCAGTTCTGGACGGTCCACAGAAACACACAGTGTTTCCTTGAAAATTCATATTATCCGTTGCATTTCCCTCATTCCTTTTCCTCTGTCCAACTCAAAGCAGTGTGTTATTGGTTACCCTCTGCCCTTTGGTTTTATCCTACCAATAGCCTTATGAGGTAGGCCAGGCTGAGCAAGGAAGAGAGTGATTAGCCCCAAAGCCTGAGAGTCACTTTCATTCCTTGATGGCTGACTCAGAAACCTGGCCCTCCCAAGCCCTAATCAGGTCCTCTGGCCACTACGAAAAAACGGGCTGCCTGGTGGTTTGAACACGAGCCACCAGGAGGAGGAATCTAACAGACCTGAAACCACGGATTGAATCTCCGTTGGCTTGCCCTAAGATGGGAGCTGGCCATAGGGCTAGAGAGAGATCCAAAGTACAAGCGGGGAAAAACAAACCCTGTTTGTCTAGTCCCTGTTGGGGGAAATTGTCACTAAAGCTGTATTTGCGAAGGCTAAACCACCCCTGTTGGGGGAAATTGTCACTAAAGCTGCACAAACCATGGTTTGAACAAACCATGGTTTAATGTATTTGCGAAGGCTAAACCATGGTTTAGTCTAAGATGTGAACCTAGTCGTTGTCTTGTTTAGAGCATAAAAGAGCCTTCAGCGTTCTGCTCGGTAATTTAAGATTATTCTCTCTCTCTTTTCCCTCTCTAGTTCCAGAGTATTTCTTTGAAGAAAATCCGGTTCAACTTCCCTTATTTCCGCAGTGACAGGTACGACGCCCCGATGAGGGGCTCCAGATTAACAGTCCAGTGTTGAGGGTAAATATTACTCCAGGGGTAAACAAGGCAGATGGTTCGCACCCTTGCCGCTTCCTTGGGGACCCACCGTGGGCTAGAATTTGGCTTCCAGATTATAGGACGTGGATCACTCAAGATAAATCTATGCCTTCATGCCGTGGAGGTCTGAAAACACATGGGTGGGCTGTGGATTCGTGTAAGTTTGCTTGTGTGGTTCTCTTCCCCCCCCATCAACTCTGCAAAGCTGAAGTTCGCTTACTCCAGGTTGGTGGCTACATCTTGTGGCAGGTAGTTCCACTGTCCTTGGAGTTTGCTTTAATGTTGCTCCTGGAGGTGGCTAGCCTTTTCGGCTATGCCCAAGCCGTCGGGCATCTGCTTGCTTCCCTTCGCAAAGGTCCCTCTCCTTTTCCTTTTCTCTTGACTCAGGGACAAAAGAGACTTTGTCTCGGCCGGAGCTGCGGCCGGGGTGGCTGCCGCCTTCGGGGCCCCCATCGGAGGCACGCTCTTCAGCCTGGAAGAAGGATCCTCCTTCTGGAATCAGCGGCTGACGTGGAAAGTGGTAAGGAGGGGAAAAAACACACACACACAACAGTTTTGCTTCTCGTCCATATTCCAGGAAGAGCGAGGCAAGGCAGAAGTGAGCCCCTGAACCCTTGGGGTGACCAGCCCTCTAAATGCCCTTCCTTTTCCTTCCCTTTTCCAGCTGTTTTGTTCCATGGCGGCCACCTTCACACTCAATTTCTTCCGTTCGGGGATTCAGTTCAGGAGCTGGGGGGCTTTCCAAGTCCCCGGGTTGCTGAATTTTGGGGAGTTCAAGGTACGTGGTCTTGAAATTCACTATTTCTCCCCTCCTTGGGTCATTTCGTAACGATAACACCAAACGAGATGGAGTTAAACGACAAAGGGTGTTGTGTTATAGTTAGGTAGCTAGAATTGCGTGACGGCGTAATTAAGAAATGATCCAGGCTTAATTAGACCGTGTTTTCATTTTAAACTGCTTCCAAGGAGTGCGATTGGTTTCGATTCTGTTTGAACCGCTTACGATGTTTTTAAGTCTGTTGTTTTTGTTGTTGTTCTGTTTTAACAAAGTTGTAAGCCACCTGGGGGGTCCCACTTTTGTGTGTGGGGAAGCTGTATAGAATATAAAAGAAAACAAGCAATAAATGCAATTCAAATTTGGGGCAGGGGAAAAACACTCTGTAAACTGCATCCCAAGGATTAATCCCCATTGATTAATGGTGGAGGCCCTTTTTCCTATTCTTCGTCTTCCCCCCCCCCTCTCTTTTCCTCCCTCCCTCGCTCCTTTCAGTGCTCGGAATCGGATAAGAAATGCCACCTCTGGACGGTGGCTGACCTGGGGTTTTTCATCCTCATGGGCGTAGCAGGGGGCCTCCTTGGCGCCACTTTCAACTGCATCAACAAGAGGCTGGCAAAATACCGCATGCGGAACGTCCACCCCAAACCGAAGCTGGTCAGGTAACCTCCGCCCCTTGGTCCTGCTGGGATCCCTGCGTGTTTTCTGCCTGGCTTTTAAAATAAAACCTAGCCGCCTTGTATGGGCTGATCTTGAGAAGGGTAGACTCCCCAGAGAAGGCAATCTTGCCAGGCAGAGGGGGAAGGCGGTAGGCAAAGAGGAAGGCAGAATGTGAGATGGGTTGAGTCAGTCAAGGAAACCACAAGGTTGCGTGTGATCAGACCTGAGCTGGTCCGTCGCTGAGAGCACCGTTTTGTAGCTTCAGTTCTGGTTTTGAGGTCCGCAGAGGGTGGCAGGGTCACATCCTGACCTTTCCTGGCCTGCTTTCTTTAAAAAAAAACAACATTTGTCTTGTTTTGCTCGTGTAGAGTCTTGGAGAGCCTGCTGGTGGGTCTAACGACCACCCTGGTGGTTTTCATCGCCTCCGTGGTCCTCGGGGAATGCCGGCCGCTCTCCTCGGCCAACCACGGGAACAACGTCTCGGTCGGCCTGCAGGTAAGGGAGGGGGTGAAAAATCCCCCCCTCCGATTGAATTGTGCTGAGCATCTCTTTTCTACATGGGGTTAAACGAGTCTCAGTGGATCCCTTTCTTGACTTCATTTCAGATGGAATCCGAGCGTGACGTGGTTATTTTCATTTTAAAATTGATGTCGTTTTGAACTTTTGCATATAGGTTATGTAGTTGAGCAGTTTTAAGGTGGATTGAATCATCCAGATAGAGAAATCGGGGTTTCCTTCTCCCCCCCCATCCAAACAAATGGGTTCTGCCTGGATCAAAGAACATCTGGCCTTCCAGAGTTTTGGACTCTGAGGCGGTCTCCACCGTGGCCCATGGGTGTTGTAGTCCCAAACCCCTGCAAAAAAGACCTGGGTTTGGCTGCCCTCGGCTTAATGCCACGTGCGCTGTTTTTTTAGGATTCTTCGTCCAATGAAGTGAATGCCAGCATCCGGACCTTTTTCTGCCCCAACCAGACTTACAACGACATGGCGACGCTGTTTTTCAACCCTCAGGAGTCGGCCATTTTGCAGCTGTTCCACCAGGAAGGTGAGGAGGAGACCCGGGCCGCTCCTAACAGCTGGAGGGAAAGCTACAGGGGTGGAAGAGGAGAGCTGGTGGGCTCCTCTTTCAAAAATACCCCCCATGTGCTGCTCCTGGGGAGCATGGAACCTTGCTGGTATTTGGGACTAGGACACCCATCATCCCTTACTGCGTGGGTGGCCTCCGGTGGACCTTAAAGGCGAAACATCTAAATGGTCTGGGTTTCTCCACCATTGAATATCTAGATACAAGAGCTTAGAAGAGTGACTTTTCATGGGGACTTTTAACTAAAATCCCCTAGGCATCATAGCCCCCCCCCGCTGCCTTGGGGGGATTCTGGGATTTGTAGTCCAGAAAACTCTTTTCCAAGTTCCGCTTGGTGTCGGTTGTGCGAAAGGCAGCTTGTTGAAGGGGGTGGAGCTTTGGGGGAAAGGGCGTGGCCTTTTCTTGGGTGGGCGGAGCTTTGCTGCTTTACCATCGCATGATGGGGTGTGGCCTTTTATTTCAGGGCGGAGCCTTGGTGCTTACTGTAGCTTGGTGGGGCGGAGTTCTTGGGGAAAGGGGTGTGGCCTCCTCTGTTGGGGGGCGGAGCTCTGGTGGACCTACTCTCTGAGCCTCTTTCCTCCTTTCTTCCTTCCGCTTGTCTCGCAGGTACTTTCAGCCCGGTCACGCTCTCCCTGTTCTTCCTCCTCTATTTCTTACTCTCCTGTTGGACTTACGGGATTTCGGTGCCCAGCGGGTTGTTTGTCCCATCGCTGCTCTGCGGGGCCGCCTTCGGACGCCTGGTGGCCAACCTCGTGAAAAGGTGCAACCCACCCCCCACCCCGGTTCCATCCGCGTGGCTCCCTGCTTTCTGGCCCCTTGGTGGTCCCCCACCCACCCAGTTCCTAACCCGGCTTCCTTCCGTCCTTCTCTCCTAGTTATATCGGCCTGGATCACATCTATTCGGGCACCTTCGCCCTGATCGGCGCCGCGGCCTTTCTGGGCGGGGTGGTGCGCATGACCATCAGCCTCACCGTCATCCTGATCGAGTCCACGAACGAGATCACGTACGGGCTGCCCATCATGCTCACGCTCATGGTGAGCCGCTCGGGGGTGTGTGTGTGTCAAAGGACACCGCGACCCAGACCAGCAGCAAAGTCCTTCAGAACCAGGAAGGTCACCTAGTCGGTCGGCTCCACGGGCCACGTTTTAGGCCATCTGGCTTGCAAACGGGTTTATCGAAGTGGCTGGCATTAACATCCTTTCTCCTGCAACCCTCTCGGTTCAGGGCTCACAGATTAGGCTGGGCTTTCCAGAAACCGCTAGCGGGGGGGGGGCTGGAGTGACATTCCCCCCCCACACACAATAGTTGTGTCTGTACACAGACACTCTGTTCAGGGGGAAAGCAGCTTTCTTGAAACCACTCAGATTTCTGATGATATAGTAGAGGACCCCCATATCCATGGGGGATCAGTTTAAATTCCCTGTGGATGCTGGAAAAAAAATAGCAGGTTTATAACTGATGATATAGTAGAGGACCCCCATATCCGGGGGGGATCAGTTTAAATTCCCTCCCTGTGGATGCTGGGAAAAAAAAATAGCAGATTTATAATAGTGAACCCTACACATAGCATGGTCTCTGGCTTTCTCTAGTAACCAGTTCCGGTCATGTCATCACTAGAAATATATATTTCCGGGATTTTTTTTTTAAAAAAGTATTTTAGACTGTGGATAAGGGAATCAGCAGATAGCATGGATACAGGGGTTTACTGTATCTGATGGTTCAGGGCGTTCTTTTTGGCCCACTCCCACTTGGTCTTCCTTTACAGGAAGCATTCCAGAAAAGGGGGGGGCAAACCCTGATCTTAGGAACGGCATCTTGTCTGTTTTATCAAAGCCGTTTCTTTAACTCTTTGTCCAGGTCGCCAAATGGACTGGGGATCTCTTCAACAAGGGGATTTATGACGTTTACGTCAACCTGCGCGGCGTGCCGCTGCTGGATTGGGAGACCCAGGCTGAAATGGACAGGTGCGTGGCTCCGTCATGAAATCACGGGCTCCGGCCGGTATTAAAACCGAACACACTTGTCCGACTTTGGTTGGGGGGGGAGAGGAGAAGGAGGCCGTCTTGGTGGCTGCTTCCCCAGATTTCCTGGAATCTCCCCCTCCAGAGAGAGGTAAGGTTGGCTCCTCCCTCTAGGTCTCCAGGTATTCTTGGACTACAACTCCCATAAGCCTTCACCACGAGCTGTGCTAGCCAGGATTTCTGGGCCTTGTAGTCCAAGAACATCTGGGGAGCCATTGATCTAAACTAACCTGTTGCTGAAGTTTGCTTCGGTTCCCTACCTTGTTGTATCCTCAGCGGATTCGCTTTGCAATTGCAATTTAATGAAGACTCCTTAAGTGTCATTTAGACGGCCCCATTGAACCCCCCTTTTTTTAGCTGGGAAGACAAAGCTGCAAATTTAAATCGAGGTCCATAAAATAGCTCTAAAAATCCTCTCTCTCCAGGCTGAGGGCCAGCGACATCATGGAGCCCAACCTGATGTACGTCTACCCCCACACCCGGATCCAGTCCCTGGTGAGCATCCTGCGGACGACGGTCCACCACGCCTTCCCAGTGGTGACCGAGAACCGGGCCTATGAGAAAGAGTTCATGAAGTGGGACCAGCTGATCAGCAACAATATTAAGTTCAAGGTGAGGAGATGGGCGGGCAACGGGGGTTTTCATCCACTGGGCCAGACCAGAAGGTGTTTCCATGTTTGGCCCTCATCCTGGGGAAAGAATGTCAGATTTATTTGGGGAAAGGTAATGCCGTACCGATGGGGCGTCACGAGAAGGCAGGGTTTTCTGGGAAAAGCTGTGAAAAGTGGAAGGTAGTAGGAAAAGAGGAAGGCTGGATGTGAGAGGGATGGATTGCCTAAAGGAAACCACGACTTTTGAGTTTTCAAGAGCTGAGCAAGGCGGTTGAGGGCAGGGTGGGGTTCCCGTTCCTAGGGTGGCCCTCCGACGGAGCCGACTTGATGGCCCACAGGAGAACTGCAAACCAGGTAAAACTTGAAGTGCTTTGCAGAGCGTGTGAATCCTTCTGTTCTATTTGGATTTGATGGATCGTCGCCAACCGCCCTGAAGAGTGCGATGGGAGCGGTCTGCAAATTTAAGGAACAAGTCAATTAGCCAGGATTTCTTAGGGTTACCATTTAAATGGTAAAATATATATATATATATAGCTGGTGTGTTGGACAGAACATTGGGCGCTGGTATTGATCTTAGGCAGGAGAAGACAGAAGGAAACGGGCTAACCAGGGAGGGGTTTGGGGCAGATTGAAATCTTGAGTTTCCCGGCCTTAATAAGGCTTGAGGGGGGGGCATGTATTGAAGTCTGAAGTCTTTGAATGTGAAAAACAGATTTTTTTGTCCCATAAGTGGGCTGACTCCCTCCCCCCTGGCCCGGCTCTTCTCTCTGTCTTTCTCCCCCACCCCCAGAAATCCAGCATCCTCACCAGGGCCAGCGAGCAGCGGAAACGCAGCCAGTCGATGAAGTCTTATCCTTCCAGTGAGCTGCGGAACATGTGCGAGGACCACATCGCCACGGAAGAGCCGCCGGAGACGGAGGACATGCTGCAGCAGATGCTGGAGCGGAGGTGAGATCAGGTCGGGCTGAGTGGGGGGTGGGAGAGCCGAGTTCGAATCCTCACTGCGTCGTGGAGTTGGCCATGGCAGGACCGGCCTTGCGGAAGGTGGTTGTACGTCAAAAAAGGTAACACAAGGGGCTGTTCTGGAGCGCACGTGGGAGTAGCGAAGAGTGGTTCCTTTTTTGAACTTCAGGTCCCATCGTCCCTGTGTAACATCACCGACGGCAGGAAGGAATTAGGGGACTTGCAGTCCAAAACCTGGAGGCGTTTTTTGGTGTTTTACAAGCAGATTTCTTGTTTCAGATGTAGAATATTCTCAATAATAAGAATGCAAACCAAGTAGGGCGCCCATATCCGTGGGGGAGCGGTTCAAAGCTCCCCCTCCCGTGGATGCCAGAAACCGTGGATAATAGCAAACTTCTCATGGTGTCATGCATACAGTGACCCTCAAGGACTCGGGAACAGGGTTCGAATCTCCGCTCAGCCGTGGAAAACGTCCTGGGCAAGTGGAACCCTTTAAATAGGATGCCTATAAGTCAGTTTTGACGTGATGGCTCAGAATCATCCTTTTTGGGGAGGAATCTGAGTAACACCTAGATGTTTTTGGGGTGCCTGGTTGGCTGCGTTCATGAAGGACTAGATCGATCTAGGAGGATTCGACTTCCTCCGGGGCCGACCTGCCTCTTCCTTCCAGCGTCTCCAAAATGCAGGATTGGATTGCCAGATTGTTCTCAATAGCTGAGGTTTCCGCCTCCTCCTTAGGTACACCCCTTACCCAAACCTTTACCCGGATCAGTCCCCCAGCGAAGAGTGGACCATGGAAGAACGTTTCCGGCCGCTGACCTTTCACGGCCTCATCCTGCGCTCCCAGCTGGTCACCTTGCTGGTGCGGGGCGTCTGTTATACGGAGAACCAGTCGGTGAGTTGGGCCGGGCTGGGGTGTCCCTTCTCTGTGAGTGGCAGCCACCACTCCTGCCTCCCTGGTCTGGGTGTCGTCTGGAGGCGGGTGATCTCGGGTCAGGCGGCATCCAGAAGGAAAATCAATCGCCTTCTCCCTGGCGATCCCATATCTTGGGAGTCGGAGCCGAGCTGTGGTAGATTTCCACCCCTTCTACGGGTCAGATTCCCCGTGCTCCCAAATCCGCGAGTTGGAACCCACCGTCTTCTCTCCTCGCCGCTGCCTCTGGTGAATTTCCAAAGTTCTCCTGATGGGTCGGGCGAGGGGGATATGGAGGTTGATCTCCCTGAGTTTGCTTTTCCTCCCTGCAGAGCGCCAGCCAGCCTCGTCTCTCGTACGCGGAGATGGCCGAGGATTACCCCCGCTACCCCGACATCCACGATTTGGATCTGACGCTGCTGAACCCCAGGATGATTGTGGTAAAAAGGGGGGTGTCTGTGCTTGGGGGGGGGTGTCACGTTGGTGGCCTGGGGGAGGGAGGGGAGAGGTCCCATAACCCCCAGTAATTGCACCAATATTAGGAAGGAAATAAGTATTATGTTAAAAACGGTCAATAAAAGCAATATCAAAACACTTTTGGAACAACAGAGAGCAATGAGTATCTGAGATTTCCTTCCTGATTTTTTTATTTTTTTGGCTAGGACGTCACGCCGTACATGAATCCGTCCCCTTTCACCGTCTCGCCCAACACTCACGTCTCCCAAGTCTTTAACCTCTTCCGGACGATGGGGCTGAGGCATCTGCCGGTGGTGAACGCTGTCGGGGAGGTGAGCCCGTCGGCCCTTTCAGGAGGGTCTGAAAACGCTTAAAACGAAGCTTGTGAAACAGCCAGTTTTAGTTTGCGGTTCTCCCCAGCGCATCCATTCGGGCCCAGCTTTAAAACTACAAGTCCCATCATCCCTGTGCAAAAGATCCAGCGATGGGGAGGGAGGGATTAGGGGACCTGGAGTCCAAACCGAATCCGATGCCCTGTCTTGGTGTAGGGCGGCTAGAGGGCTAAAGCTAAGGATAGAACCTGGGTTTGCATTTCTGGGTGGTTATTTTTCACCTCCCGTTTCTGTAAGGAAATAACCTTTTTCTCGCTGCGTCCAAAACCGTGGGTGCATTTTGATGCTGGGCGTGGTTATTGCTGTGTGCATTTGGAAAAACGGTGCGCCAACATGCACCAGTTGATGGTGGGAGCAAGATGTGGCATTTGGAAAAATATACAAAAAAAGTTTTCCATGTCGCACAGAAAGGGAGACCAGGACGTAGCTGGTGCCAAGATGTGGCATTTGGAAAAATATACAAAGTTTCCCATGTCTCACAGAAAGGGAGACCAGGACGTAACTGATGTTTCTCACCTTGCCTAGACTTGCCCTTTCGGAGTCTCCACCAGGTGTCGCTGGCCCTCCAGCGCATGTTGGCTCGAAAGCAGAAGCAGCAGATATGTTCGTAGGGGGAGTCCAGGGCTGGGATCTTTCAGATCCTCCGTAGGCGGGGATGGAAGGAGTCAGGAAGTGCACGGAAACGGAGCACACGGCCCTGTTTGCGGCTGGGACCCTGGCTTGGATAGGCTGACGATCCCTGGCTCTCTAGCGTCATTGTCATCGTCTTAGAACGGCAGAGCTGGAAAGAGACCCTAAGGGATCATCCAGTCCATCCCCTGCCAAGGAGGCCCAGTGGGGGGGGGGATCGAACTCCCAACCTCCAGCTCCACAGATAGATTCCTAAGTCACTGAGCTACCCAGTCATTCTGGGTCCAGTGGGTTTTGCTGGTGAGTGGTGTGGTTTCTGCTCTTTCTTCTGCATGGTCTCTTCCCCCTGCCCCCCCCCCATGGGCCACCCTAGCAAACAGGGCACTGGACAGGACCTGAGAAAGTGGGGCAGAGGGGCGCCGGATGAGGGCAGAACATCTGGAGTGCCCGACCTTCTGTTCTTGCCGCGGCTCTTGTGGGAGGTTCACCAGCTGGGCCTTTCCCCTTTTGGGCTCCTCAGCCCGGCATAGAAAGAGGAGGGTATGACAGCGAGATTTGGGTCATCTTTTGGCCCCCCTCTCCCCTCCACGATCTCCTTGGGATGGCTCAAGGTGGCGTCCCTCGCTACATCTTGTGGCTGGGAGTTCCACAGGGCTTAGCAAATGTTTTGATCTCTCCCCGACGGTTGCCTTTTAAAGTCACGTTTTCCTCTGCTTTTCCTCTCTCCCCCCTGCCCCCCCCCAGATCGTCGGCATCATTACCCGGCACAACCTGACCCACGAGTTCTTACAAGCCAGGCTCCGGCAGCACTACCAAACCCTCTGACCGTCGCCGCCCGTCCGCCCGCCTTCCTCCCGCTGTATGTCTCCGGGCTGCTGCTTCGCTCCCTGGCTCGCCCTCCTGCGGGCCGCCTTCCTGCCCTTGAGAACAAGGCAGGCTGCAGTGTTCTTCTCGTGGGAGGCTGAGGCTCTTAGGAGCCGAGGAGACGCCAGGATTTCTGCCACCCTCACTGGCTCATCGTGGGAGCCCTCCCTGTTGGCTTCCCCCCCTTCTGTGTGATCTCTCTCCTTAAGCTGCCTTGCAAGACGCACCCTCAGTTTTCCCATCGACCGCTTTGGGAGGAATCGCGCCTCTGCTCTGCTCCAGACAGAAAAAGCAACCCTCTCTTTCCCCACTGACTTTGCCTCCTGTGCTTATCTTGCCTTAATTTTAATCCCTTTCATTTTTCCTCCTTGAGGACCAGGTGTGAACCAATACAACCTTCCCTCCCACTTCTGCACTTAACCAACAGTTCTTCAGCATCACTTAAGGCTGAGAACAGGAGACACTGTATTTTTTTATTATTATTTTCTTGAGAGGGTTGTGTTTTTTTAATTTATTTTTTTAGGAAAAAGACTTTGGAACTCCTGAGATTCTCTGTCTGCTTTGCACATATCCATCTCTCTCCCCTCGCTTTTTTCCCCCCTTTGATTTGTGGCTGCTTGATTTTTGGTGCATTCTCCTTCAGAGGCTGGGCAGGGCCTCACACGCGCACGCACACCCCGGAAAGTCTGTGCTCCAGTGACGTTCCAAGGAAGTGTTCGGATCTCCTCAACCCTGGGAGAGGATGATAGAAGGGGGGAAAAAGAAAGGAAAGGGAGAAAAACACCAAGAGAGAGAAAAACGAACAGTGATCGGGACAGTACTTTTTACGTGGATGGAAGAATGGAGGAAGTGAAGTTGGCAAAACGTTCAGCGATTTGCAAAGGAGCATGTATGGATGGGTAAGATCATTCTCCCGCCCGGCGCCTCTTGACTTGCCAAACTGGTTTTATCCAAATCCGCCTTTTCTCACGACTCGCCTCTTTCCAGTAGTGTCGGATTAAAAATCCCATATCTGCAGAGGAATGGGAGTTGTAGTCACGCCACCTCGGAAAGGCTGCGCTTCTCTCCATCCAGCCTCTGCGTTTCCTGGACTTGCCATCCGTATGAGTCCTTTACCCACCCCAACCCAAATTATTTGTGTTTTCCTTCCTTTCTCTGATTACTTCCCCCCCCCCAATTCTGAATTTGGATTTGTGTCACTCTCTTGTTTTGAACCAAGAGAGAGAGTGTTGCCGTTTCATCCCTTCTCCGGACGCTGGACGCCAGCTCCGATTTTTCATCGAAAGACCTTAACTAGCAAATCTTGCCCCGGGGGAGAGAGAGAAATCATTAAAAAAGCATAAGTAGTAAACCCAGGCAAGACCGGAAAAATTCTGGACCAGAGTGGGGAGGGGAAGGGAGGCAGAAAGAATAGCAGGAGAGCCATCTCCGGGAGCGGCCGAGAGATCTTTCCCATAATAGTCACCCAAAGGCTGGAGCCAGCCGCAGCCGGTCTGGGGCTTCGAGCGAGTCCCATCCCAGCCCTGCCTGGCGCGATTCCGGCAGGCTCCTGCCTTTGTAGGTTTGTTTTTTCATTTTATTTTTGTCTCAATCAATTCGTGGGGAAGCCGGAGTCGTGCAGGAGCTGTTAGCACTGATCGCATTGATAAAGCACAATGCGGTGTGTGTTTTGCACTCATATAGACAAGGCAGAGCTGGAGAGGAAATGCATTCTAGGAAAAAGGGTCCCTCTGCCCCTTTCTCTTGCCTCCACCTTCGGCTAGCTTGCCTGTTCTGTGCTGCTCTGTTTTCCAGGCGCTGCTGGCCCTGATTTGGCTCCAAATGGGGGTCTTTCTCACCCTCACCCCTTCCAAAAAGGATCATGTGGAAAACTGACCCTGTTCTTTACAGGGATCCACGAGTGTGGTGTCCCTATAAAAAGTCCCACGTTTGGGGCTTCAGCCTCCCTTCAAGATGACTCCAAAACTTCCCAGTGTTGGGGTTCCATGTTTCGTGGAACCATGGAGGAGAAACTGTGGTTCTTGGTTGGCCGGCGAGAGCGAGGAAAAAAACGAAGAGCCGGTTAAAAAGATCTGGATCTTTAGAAAATGTCCTGCTGGTATTTGTCTTCCTGGCGTTCCCTGCCCAGAATTCGGGAGCGAGGCACCCCACCGAACCCGTGGCCTTCGGCCATCGCTCAAAAGCAAACGAGGGCCTCGCCAGCGGGTTTTCTGAGATCTGTCGCGCGTCGAGCCAATTAAGGCTCGGGCAGCTCCATCGTTGGTCTCGAGGGCCGTGGGTTTTTGACAAACCCTTTTCCCCTTCCGAGTGGCTGGCGTTTGGCATCTTGCCCAGATGTTGTCCTTATTGGGCAAAAACATTCTCGCGCGTCCCCACCTGCCTTGGGGTGTCTGTTTGGGGTGTGTGTATGTGATGAAGCAGCATTGTGTCTCACAGCCCTGACCGACATGATGAACGGTCTTCTCCCTTAACGGCGATGTGGGGTTTGTTAAAAGTGACAGCCGACCCTGATGGTGTCATCTTTCTGAACCTTTTCGCCCTGGGGCTTCCGCGCTGGCTGTCGCCGGGCGGTGGTGGGTTTGCCAGCTTGATCAATGTGTGGGGTTTTGCTAATGGGAGCTGTGTGTGTTGTTTGATGTGTCTTTGTGCTGTGCCTCCAATTTGAAGGTTCCTGACACCACCTGCAAGCGTCAAGATGTAACTCTGTGTATCTTTTAAAAGCCAGTACTGTATTAATTTACACCTCGCGGGAACCCTGGAGGGCTGGCGCATCGTTGCGTTGCTCGCTCTCCGATCTCCTCAGTGCTCCTCGGCCATTGGTATGCCAGTTGTTGGTGTTTTTAAACTACAGTGCCCATTAGCCACCAGCCCCAGTGGTTGGGGGTGCTGGGATATGGAATTCTGAAGCACCCAGAACCACCAGCGTTGGAGAGCCACCCTCTTTACACAATAGTATCCCGAGGTATCGCCCCCCTCCCTGTGTGAGAGTTGACCCATTCCAAAACAGACCACTCATCCCTTGGATTTAATTTAATCTCTCCTGATGGTCGTTTGCGACGCCAATTGCACTTTTTTTTCATTTGGGCAAAACGAATTTTGTGGTATTGCACACAAATGTTTATTTTTTTAAAAATCCTGCCTAGATTATTTTTTGTTATTATTATTTATATTTGAGCCCTTTTGTTGTAAACCCACAACTGTTGGTCTCTTTAAAACCACCACTACAGGCACATATGATTAAAAATAAATTTCCTTCTGTGTGTGTCTTCACAGTCTTCTTGGGTCTGTCGTCTTTTTTTTTGTTGGTAGCTTTTGCTATTGGCCTGCCTTCCTTATCCCAGGGCTGCTGTCAGTGGCATCTCTTTCCAACGCAAACATGCCGATCTGGAAGGTTCCGAGTTTTATTCCAACCCTCTGTATTCATATTAAATGTATTTCTACCTTCCATAGCCAGGAGACATTTCCCACGGCTCACTTTATCCTCTGACAATCCCAGTTGCCAGTTATGAAGACAACCGTTCTTTCCAATGATTTAGCTGGCAACGTGTACTATTTGGGGGGTAGACTATCTTGGACCATGGAGGTTCTATTTTTAAGTGTGAAGAACCAACCGCCCTGCTGGACGACGCTGCCCCAGCTAGCATTGTAAGTACAACGACAATTGTATCTCTTTCTTTTTCCCCAGAACGTATATTATGAGCTTCCTGCACACACACACACACCCAAATAGTCTCTTCATCCTATGGAGATTAAAGCTCCCTTACTGAGCCAGAAATGGATTAGCAAACGACACAACTGCTGCTTAAAAATATGTCTACTTTAATGGAAATTGTGAATACAGGCTTTTTTCTCTTTTTTCCTTTTTTTTTTTTAAGTGCAAAGTTCAAAACTGTGTGCTGGGGAAACGTAGATCCGATTGCTTTCCTGCAGCTCCCGTTTACATTTGAACTTGAGCCCCACCAAGTGTGGCTCTTGCCTTGGAGGCCACGAGATCCGTTTGCAGGTGCATAGGAGCTTGGGTTTGGAGCTTGGGAAAGCCACATTTTTGAAACTGAGGCACCCCTGGGTAGTTTTCAGACCCTGGCTAGCCAAACTTTCTGGATTCTCCCTCGGCCAGGAGGAAAGTTTTTAAAGAAAGGAACAAGCTAGTTTTTCCAAGGCTTGCTCTCTCCCCCCCCCCGTTTTCCCCCCTGAAATGGGATGGAGACACACAAGTCTGGTGGGTTTTATTCCAAAGATGTTCTTTCTGCAGGAAACGCTTGGCGAGAGGAGGCCGCTGGGCTCAGACCCGTCTCTGTCCGTGGTGCTGAATCTTGTGGATTCTTGTTCGGGGCTTGGTGGGACTGGTCGGTGGGGAGCCGTAGGTGCTAGCCGGGAATGTAACTCTTCCCATGGGTCATTTTACATCCTTTTCTGTGTTCTGTGCCCAGGTGTATGGCAAAAGAAATTATTCCAGGGGTGTGTGTGAGCATCTGTCCTCCAGTGAGCCTTGCCTTTTCTCTCAGTGGAAGGGAAGAGCTGGCTGGCTTCTTCACGGAGGGGTTCAAGCAGCCTCTGGAAAGGTGTGGGGGGGCCGCAGGAGCGGGCGGTGGAGGTCCTGGCCATGTTTGGGTTGAGCTTCAGTTCTGTGAAAGGACAGGAATCAAATTAACAGCATTCGTCCGAAAGCCGAGGCTCCCTCGGGCGCGTTGGGTTCAAGACGAAATGACTCTTGCCAAAGAATAGCAGGTAACGGTGGGAGCTTGGGATTTTCCTGGACTACAAGGCCCATAAGTCTGTTCTCGGAGTTCTGCCGGACCTCAATGTGGCTCGCCTTGGACCTAGGCCTCAACTTTTGAGGCCGAGCTCCACCCAGCTTCCTGTTCAAAAAGAAATTTCCCAGCTCGCACTGGGGCACGAGCAGGAAGGCCAGGCAAGAGAGAGGCCGAGTTTGGCCTCTAAGCCTTCCAAAACGAGGCCTTTTCTCCAAGGCGAGCCATATTTAGGTATCCGTCGATCAGACCTCCCAGAATGAAGAGGGATGGGGTTTGTGGTCCAAGAAATCTGAAAATTCCAGAGGCTGTGGGGGAAGCCTACAAGCAGGACGTTATATATTGCTTAGTAGCAGGTACACTACATGTGTTGCTGGAGGCTCTACACTGTCGCCGCTAAGGATGGCTGCTATCTGCCCTTGGGCATGGCGTAAATAGAGGAACCCAGCCCCTCTTCGCCTTCCCAGGCTAGTGGCCTCGAAAAGCCACCAGTCTTGGGTATCTGATGGGATGGGTCAATGAGATGATTGACAGCCATCAGTCACTTTGTGAATTTGTCTGCCTCTTTCCCTTGGAAAGCTTCCCGTGCCCCCAGCAGCAAAATAATCA